TATGGGGGTTTTATGCACCCAGGAATGTCACTAACCCTTCTGGCCGTAAAGTGGCAACAGGAGTTTCTATAGTTACTGTGCAGTTGATCATTGACCATATTAATGTTCTCTGTGAGGGCACTGCTTGCTGAGGTAGGAACCTTTTGGAAGTGTGGTCCCACATCTGTTCCTGGATACACCACTTCTCCTTCAGCTGGAAGGAAATGGCTGGCCTGCCAGCTTCATTTAGGGAGCATCACGTCTGCTCTTTGCATTGTTTGCTCTTTTTTATAAGTCTGAATTTCAGTGTTGTTTGAGAACCTTGTGAAGATGGTTGCACACTGCTGTGATCTGCTCCCTGAAGCCCCTTCTGTGAAGGCTGTGCTGATTTTCCATTTACAGTGCAGGGCCAGGCAGCCCTTCCTTGACACTGTGCTGAGGGTTTCACAGACCACAAGAGGCATTAGTGAGGGTGGGTAAAGACAAAGACTTGAATTTCTTTCATCTCTGCTTTTGAGTTAAAGCCCATTAGGGGAAAGTTCTATTAGGGAATACATATTGCTGCTGATTGTATCGTTTTTCTTTTGTGGCTTAATTGAGTGCTATATTTTCCAGAGCTGCCAGGGTCTCTTTTGAGGGCTCAGTTTCAGTATTGAAGACAAATGATTGAGTAATTCAAAACACCAGTAAAAAACAAACCAAACCAAACCCAAACCCCAAAGAAAACAAGCAAAATGCTTGTTTATGTTTGCTTCTGTGACAGAAAAAGTATTGTAATGTTTATAGTTTTTTCTTTCTTAACACATCCACTTCTTGGATGCCTGTGTGGGAGAATGGAGTGTCCTTCACCCTATTTTTTATGGCTTCTGTTTGCAGCTTTCTACAACGTAATGCTCAGAGTTGATGGAAACAATTTGAGTTTGTGGCCGAGAGCCTATTTCCAAGTAGTAATCCAATAAATACATTTCTATGGGAGTCACCATGTTAAGCCTTTATAATCAGAATTAGTCTCCTGTAGTTTATTTTGCTAAGTTGTAGCTTGGAGGATGTTCTTTGCTGTTTTGTCTATGGGTATGGGGAAAAAAAGCAACCAGAGCAGCCTTTGCAGCTGCAGTAAGATCAGTGTGAAATGCAACCTGCTGTGATGCTCAAGTTGGTGACTCTGGGTGGGTTTGAACGTTGCTCTCTTGAGAAGCAGAACATCTTGTAAATGCAGGCTGTGTTCCATTAATGCTGGTCCCCAGTCTGGGTCTCTGCACTAAGGCCTGTAGAACATGTGCCTGCTCTGAGCTGCTGCAGAGTGTGGGGCACTGAGACTGTCATGGCCACAGTTGTTCCACAGCTGTGCTGGGAACTGCTTTCTACCTCTGGGGTTTATGGGAACAGCCCCCGGCTTGGCCCCTGCTCGGCTGTTCTCTCTCTGAGGAGCCTGCTGGGAAACCCTGCTCAGGCTGCAGCCTTGGGCAGCAACCCACAGCACCTTGTCTGCAGTACAGTAGTCAAACAGGTGGTGTGGGCTGAAGTAGAAGTTCATCCTTAAATGCATTTTTGTATCTGCCTTTATTTTAATGCAAAAAAAACCCCCTTGGCTGTACCCAGAAGGTGGCCTGTAGTTTGCACAGCATCCCACCTCACGTCTCTATTCCAACCAGTGCCTGCCTCCCTACACAGCACTCAGCATCCAGGTGCTTTTCCACACCTGTGCTCTGTTTCCCTGTTGCCTGTCCTGTCCATGTCTTATCTCTTCCCCCTATGTGTTGGTCTTATCCAGTGTAAATCCTGGATTCCCCTGGATTTCTGCCTGTCCTGGGGAGCAGACAGTGGATGTGGGAATAAATTGTGCTGGTCAGCTGGCTGGTGCTCTCCTATCTCTGGAGAGGCAGTGACATCTGACAGGTGGACCATGAATAAAACATCCTCTTTCAATGTTAGATGAAGTACATTTAGGGTTTCTTCCAATCAGTGTTTCTGAAAGAAAACTGTTGTGGTGTTTGAGCTCTGAGGAGCTGCCAGCTCTGTGCCAGCATGTAGGGGCCTGTGGGAATGGCTGTAAGGCTGGAACCTCTGCACAGGATCCACACTTACCCACTGCACACAATCCCACTTGTCCTCCTAGGCTGCTGAGTGCTGGCACCTTGGAAGAGCTGCCTTTTGGGTCATCCTGGTTATTGGTGCAAGCATTCTGGGAGTGCTGGGCACTGTATCCTCATGGGGCCCTGGCAGAATCCTACAGGAGGGGCTGCTTTAGGGGACTTGGCTTTGGTTATCATGTTACTCATCATGACTTGCTCATAGAGCCATTTTATCAGTAGTTCATTATTTCTCATCTCTGGGAGTATTTGACTCTGGTGCTGTCCTTTAGTGTACACTGTGTCGTCACCACCTGTAGAGGTTTGAAATGAGAGACACAAACTGATGGCCTGCCTGCTGTTGTTCACAAGATATGGAAATGTCTTTAGGGTAACTTCCAGCCTTGGATTCTAATTGTGAACTGGTAAAGTCTTTGCATTATGTCAGAATCATGTTGTGTTTAAAGAGGAGTTAATAGTAGACCCTTTCTAGAATGTGAAATGATTTGCTGTAACTGGCTGTTGGTGTGTACTGGAAGTGTGCATTAGTTCCCAGAGTGAATTTTTTTGTGTGTGTGTACATAAGAGGTAATATCTGGATGAAGTTTAAGTACTACAGCAGTGGCCACCACAGCAGACTCTGTGGTTCCTGCCCTAATAGCACAAACTACTGCAGAGCTTAAGCTTGAGCATGATTTGTTGGTGGTTTATGTGTCCTGGCAGAGTAGCGCTCTCCTTAATGAGAGAGAGGGGAAATGACTCCTATTGATCTGGTTTATTCAGCTTTTCATTACACTGGTGTAAAAGCCCCAGAAATCGATCAGATCAGACTCATGTGCTTAACTTCCAGGAGTTATTCCACAATCCCAAGCACAGTGTTATCCTTGCCTGTAGTTTTCACATTTGTTTTGAGTCCTGATTCTGGGCCTGGAGATGGATTGCTCCTTGGCTGAGGGGAGGAATCAAACGAGCTCTGTCCCTGCTAGTGTCTGCATTGCTCTTTTGGGAAACAGTAACTTCTCAGACAACACTGTCCACTGGCCTTTTCTGCTTGAGAGAGAAAAGAAAAGATATCTTTTAGGATCCATTGCAGTTCAGTAACAAGAATAAAGCAACATAGTGCTCAAAAGGCAGAGTTTGATTAAAACAATAATATCTGATTTTATAGCAATATTTATTCTTCATGTGGAACAATAAAATATGAACTAAATCATGCCAATGATATGATTCATCTGTTTCTCTTCCTCACTGTGTGTGGGCAGCTTGCAGTAGTGTTAGTGGAAAATATGTCAGAGGAATAATTTTACTTTAAAAGTCGTCTCACTTTGCTGCTGGGATCCCTGGGGTCTTAGGGACACAGCACTGGACCTGTGCAGCACTAGCAGATTAGGGGGTATCCAGAGTATTTTTGAGCACAGCAGTGCTTTTTGGTCAGATGAAGGATTTTATTGAGGAACAACCTCGTTGAGAGCAGGGTGTGAGATGCTTTTGTACTGAGTGCTGCCAGAGGATTCTGTGTCAGATCTTCTCACCTCTGCTAATCGTGGATGGACCCTCCTCCTTCCCCACACTTACTCCCAAATTACCAGCCTTAGGTTATTAGGTTTTTTTAAATGTAGTGAACAGTCCTTCTAATAATGAATACACGATGTGTTGTCATGTTGACAATGTGCAGATGGTGGGGAATTAGTTTTAATCTATTTGATTCTATCTCCTCAGCCTCCTAATTGTCTGATTAAATAATTCTGAATAACAATTTTACATTGTTGGGACAACTTTTGGATTGGTAGATATATTAGATACACTTTTGCTGAAGAAAGAACAGCGATTTCATATCCTAGTTCTTTATGAAATTAAGGTGATTGAAATTCAGCTTTTCCACAGGTATAGAATTGTGGGGTTTTACTTTTCTGTGGTGGACCCTTAAAGTGTTTTCTGGTACAGTTGCAGAGATGTGTGTGATGCTTTTACCCCTGCTAACAATGGAACTGTTTAATCTGTTTACATTTGAGGATCCCGTAGTAATTGCTTGGTGATCCCTGGCCCTGGGAATCATTGAATTCCTGCCTTTATTGCTGTTTCTGCCTTAATTTTTTTTTTTTTTTTTACTTTGTATAACTCCTTACTTCATACCCATAATACCTTCTTGAGGCCCACAGACATACCCTTTCCAGGACACAATATTCTAGCTCTAGCTAGATTTTGGCATTGCTTCAATGTGAGTTGTACGGTATTGGTAAAGAGGAAGAACATATTTAATGAAATATTAACACTTACTAAAATACAGTTTAGGATAGCTTACATGAGACTGTTGAGAAACTGGAGGTGTCCATCTAAATACAGCAGCTGAGCACACTGTTTCCAGACTGACCTCCAGGTGAGCTGCTGTAAATTGCCTTACTGTTCATTTCAGCTTAGGCCTTGTAATTCTTTGTAAGGACTTGAAGCAAGAACGACTGACTGGTTTTCAGCCTTAGCTACAGTGGTATACTGGTTTAGCCAGTTTATTGGTCTAGTCAAAACAATATAATTATGCCAAATTACTGCTGAACTTTGTGGTTCAAGCCTTTAGAGTTCAGTCCTGCTTTTAACTCAAGGGATGCTTTCATCTACTTATGCAAATTCATTAAAAATTGAATCCTATATCTCTGGTTTGAAATGCTAATATTCTTTCTGTCCATTCACTTCTTCAGTCTCCCACCACCATCACATGTACACACTTTCTTCCTCTGTCCCTCAACAGTGGGGGAAAAATAGCTATAAATATGGATGGGGTCTTTAGCCTTCAGGGATTTTTATGGCTTCCTGTTTGGTGTTTTCCAATGTCTGTGCCTGTGCTTAATTAGGATATTCCTCATATCTGTCAAAGTAGGGTTGAATTGCTGGAAACCTTATGCCTATTTTATCTTTTTGAGCAGCTGTTTCAACAACTTTTTCTGTTATTATTTATAGGCAAATTTAGAAAACAAACCAGTAAATGGCCGCAGACCAGAACTCATGGAATGCAGTATATGTGGTCATGGTGAAAAATACAGGGTGAAAAGCAACCAAGCAGTGCCCATTGAAAATGTGCAGTGCAAGGAGAAGGAAAGAATGACTGGCCTGGAAGCAGAGAAGTGGGCACATCATGAGAAGCCATCCTTTGGTGTCCATGTCAACGGCGACATCCACGGAGCTGTGCCGGGCACCGAGCACTTGAAACATGCTGGAGACAGTGACAGAGCAGTCTCTCCCAGTCAGTTAGCTGAGCCAAAAAAATCCTTTGCACAGACCATCAGAAATGGCATCAAACCCCTGCATTATTCACCACCAGAAGCCGTTGCTTCACTGAAAAAGGTGTCTGTAGAGGAAAGGACAGACTTGACGAGCAACTCCCACCTGCAATGGACGAAAGGTACCAATGTGAATAACACAGTAAACGCTCTGACAACTGGCATTGGCTGTGCTCACCCACAAACCCAAGGAAATGTTTTAATGAAGGATGAAAACTGCATGTGCAGCGTCTCTGAGGATTTTGATAAGTCAGTTCTGCAGGCAGGTTCCATCTCGGGTCTGCAGGAAAGCTTGTGTTGTCCTCCCCTACCTGAAGGGGAACTGCAGGCAGCGAAGGATGGCTTTGAAGTACCTAAGGTGGAGATACAGCCTGAAAATCCTACACTCCAGCCAACTTTCCTGTCCCTGATTAAAACCAGAAATTTAACTGTGGAGCAGGTTGTAGCTATTGAAGCTTTAACACAGTTATCTGAAGTCCCTTTAGAAACAACTTCGCCAGCGAAAACTGAAAGAACTGAATGTACAGAAGAAACAACTTACAACTTGCTCCATGGTTTTCAAAGGGACATCTCGTCCTCCTTCACATCTTCTGCACTAAAAGAGATCAAAGACACTTACTTACAGAATGAGCAGCAGCTCCTGGCTCACTGCGCTCACCAGCAGAAGCAGCTCCCGAATAAGGCAGCGTTATACAATGGCCAAAGCTCAGTCCCGGAATTGCAGGATAAACCTGCCCATCTGGCTGGGGAGATGTGTAAGTTACAGTTGTCCTCCAGAGATACCAAAACTTTATCTGACTTAACATCTAATGCCATATCACTTGCAGGCTATACCACTGAGAAAAATTATGCTCATGATGCAGTTGCCCTTGGACAGTGTTGCAACGCTTCATGTAATGTCCAGCAAACAGGGAACAACTTGGAAACTCTGGGCCAGTTAGAGCAAAAGCCACCCTCTAATGATTTGAACTTGGAAACTGGCACTTTGATTAAGGAAGGAGGGATTCACAGCCAGGATGAAGAAGATGTGGCTGCACAACTAACTCAACTTGCAGCACTGATTGAATCAAACCAGGCCAATACAGAGCAGAAGAATGACATAAAGGCATCACTGATTAATCTAATCTCACATGAGAGGCAGCCAAAGCATAACGAAGATGTGTTGCAGAAAAAAGAACCCGTATTTTTTAGGCATAATTATAGTTCCTTGCTGATAAAACAAAAACAAGCAACAAATAAGAAAGGCGGTGCCATGCCATGGAAACCAAGACACAAAAAGAAGCCTCCAGAAGCACGCTATCAACAGGCTAATCAGAACCAGCTAGAGCTGTTGTCATGCCAGCACAGCGAGTTGCAGGACATTTGGATATCATCAAAACTGCACAAGCTTGGTCAAACCATGCCCCAGGACTCCAGAATAGCTCTGCCTGAAAAAAAATCTCCACGAACCAAAGTACAGAGAGCACAGAGTCAAAGTACTTCATCACAAGAAAAAACTAGATTATTTCTCCCCCAAACGCAGATAAAATTCCACAGATGTTTACCTGAGGCAGCACAAGAGAAAAAAAAAGACAGGTTGTTTGGCTGTGAAGCGGTGAATGAGCAAATGAAAACTGCAGGCTCCCGGGACCCACTGGGCACTGACCCACTGAAAAATGAAGTTGTTGCACGTGGCCAACACAGTGACCTGTCCTCCCGAAATCCTCTGGCTGTTCCACAGCTGAAAACAGCATCCTTGTTGAACAGACCAACCGAAAACCTACAGATGTTTACAGAACAATGCAATTCTCAGGTACAGCAAACAGCAGCTGGCAGTCAGGCACACCCTTTGCCTCCAGCCCTTACCCAGCCAGACCTGAGAGCCAACAGCAAGAGCAGTGAGAGCACAGCCTGTGTCCAGCAGGGCACACAGGCAGAGCCCAGGGTACAGGTGCTGCCTGTTCCCTGTGGAGGGGCCCAGGTGCCAGCCTGTGCCGAGGCTCTCAGGAACATGGAGTGTGTGGGTGAGGTGACCGTCCTGACGTCATCCAGTTTGGGTGCTGACCACGCACAGAGCACGGGCGACTCAGGGTGTTCCCCAGCAAAAAACACGCTCAGCAGTTTCCTTGAATCACCTATGAAGTTCCTTGATACCCCCACAAAAAATTTAATAGATACACCTACAAAAAAAGGACAGTCTGAGTTGCCAACTTGTGACTGTGTTGGTAAGTGTTTCTGCTCGCTTTTGCCTGTACCTTGCCGATGGAGACGTGCTCGTGTTGTAATGTGAGGAATCCTGTTACAAAACAATCAGTGCTTCACCACTAGAAAACAGGAGGAAATTATTTTTTCCCTTTTTATAACTTTTGCTTGGTGTTCCTTGGGCCTGCAAAGCACAGCAGAACTGAGTATTTTTGGTATTGCATCTGGCAGGTTTAAATATTCCACTTAAATTGAAACCCAAGAGGAAAAGGAGTTTTTCTGTTTGCTGTTTTACCATTGCTGACTTGTATTTATCTGCAGTATATCAGGCTCTGATTTAGATGGTCTAGAACTAGTTTCTGCCTGGGGGGCTTGGGAAAAATGTCCCACTACATTGTCACCATGTCCTAAATGCTGTCAGATAAGTGGGACAACACAGCTGGGGGGGGTCCTGTTGCTGCCCCTGTCAAGTCCTGGTGGCCTGGAAGAGGCTGTGCTAAAGGCACAGAGGGAGATGGGGTGGGGTTGAGGTGAGTCACAAGTAGTGACTTGTGAGCAGGATGGGATGTCAGAGCAAGCACAGCTTGGCTGAGGGTAGCACGTGCTGTGTTGTCAGACTACCCAAGTGCACAGACAGAAAGAAAGTCAGAGACTTGAAGCAATCTGCCTGTGTACAGTTGTTGTTATCTTTACTTTCCTGGTCTGAATCAGCAGGGTGCTAGTTAAGAGGCCTGGACTGTGTTTTCTGTTCTGTAGTATATGACTATCTGTTGACTTATTTTTCCCCTTCAATTCTCCTCTGTCTAAAATGAAATAATGTTTTCCTACCAACAAGGATATTGGGAATCTTACTTAGTCAATACATGCCAGCTCCTATAATGAAAGTTTGTGAAGAATGCAAAATACTTCTATAATTAGGGTTACTTTATAACATTAAAAACTAACAGCAGATTAATAGGAGGAGAAAAGTATAAAATTTTGTCTGAGGAAAAAAGCCTGTCCTACTCTCTGTTCATTACATTTCAGGGTCAGATTTGATATATTGTAATTTCATTTGCAAGGTGTCTCTGTAAACCATTTCTAAGTTAACTTTTAATGCAGTAAATAAATTTTGTATGTGCCAACTTCGTTTTCTCCACCTGCTTACAGAGCAAATTATAGAGAAGGATGAAGGCCCCTATTACACACACCTTGGGACAGGACCCAGTGTTGCTGCTGTGAGAGAAATCATGGAGAACAGGTGAGGAAAATTCAGCTTTTAACGCTCACAATACTTCAGGCAGTCTAAATAGGGCACAAGTAGAGCTCTCAGAAATTATATTCAGATGTGCATGAGGTGAGGGTTTCAGTTCCAAACTTGGAACAAACTCTTCTGAGCACTTTGACTGCGGGGTTGCAGTTCAAGACCTCTGAGGTGTCAATAGAAGGACAAATCAGCAACTGGCACAAGCAGGTTTTCCATGTTCCACATGCAGAGAAGCTGTGGCAAACCAGAAAGAAAAAGGTCACATTAGTGACTAAGTGCACTGGGATTTACATGCAGGTAACACTTTCTTGCCCAAATAATATTTCCTTAGTGGCAGAAGTTTATCAGAAGAGAGGTATCAAAAACCACTCTTGCAAATAGGATTTTAAACTGAAAAAGGTTGGGTTTGTTTTTTGGTTTTTTTTTTTCGACTTCATAAAGATTTGGTTCTGTTTTCAGTAATCATAAATTGGTTATTCTTACTTTATTGAAAATGTTTCCTGTTTTAAACTGGTCTGCAGCAGTTTGTTTTACTCATGAACTCTTTTAAATGCAGGTATGGAGCAAAAGGAAGCGCTGTAAGAATAGAGGTGGTGGTTTATACGGGAAAGGAAGGAAAAAGCTCTCAGGGGTGTCCAATTGCCAAGTGGGTAAGTTTTTATGGTGAATCAAACTCATTTTGTGTGGCTTTTCAAAATCACAATGTGCAGTCCTTGAGCTCAAATATAATCTCATCTTTAATGAAGATCTGGTTCTTTAATTGATTTCTCTTTGAGGAACTGAACTCTGTATTTGAAAGTGTGCTGGAGTGATAGTTTGCATCAAAGTCCTGTCTCACGTTGCTTCCTAGGAGCCAGGAAATGAGGTAACAGGCACAGGCTCCAGGATAGAGCTTGGGAAGGATTGATTGTCCTTAATCTTTGCTGAAACCACGGAGGGAGGTAAAAAATAGACTGGAAATCTTGTAAACTGAGTTTTGGAAAATAATACAAACCTGGTTGTTAAAAAATTGTATTGCTGTATTTAGAAATTTCAGAGTTGATTGAAAAATCTGGGATGGGAACTGCAGTTGAAGGGCAGTGTCTGTGATGATGTGACAAAAATAAGGTTACTGCATATTGTACCTGAGTGAATTTGCATGTTAAACCTTCACTGCTTATGTTTGGAGCAGTCAAAATCTGTTTGTCATACTCAATACATAAACTGCTTTTCAGAAGGGAAGCACATATGTGCTTGTGCTTCAGATAACATTTAATAACAAATCCAGTGTCCAAGAAAAAATACTGTAAAACTACTTTCATAAACAGCTGACCCAAAAAGAATGGAAAGATTGTTCTCAGTGTTTCAGCTGAGTAAAACACTCAGTTTTAACAGAGGACAGGAGTTAAAAATCTTACCTTAGAAACAGTTGTGAGCAGTTGAGGGGAAGAAAACATTTACAGCTAAGCTTAAACTTTGATCTTTCTGTTGCCAATACCAACATACTGTCTTTTATAAGACAAAAATGGCATTAATTGTACCTGTGCATGGCTGTAGGTGTCCCAGTGTGTACGGTGTGACAGACAGCACTGGATGCTACAGGAAGGGCTGGTTTGGGCTATGGGGACCTGCTCTGCAGTTGAGATTTTCATGTTGCTGTTTGTGCATAAGATATAATGTTCATGTAACTGAAGTTCTGGGAAGCAGTGACTTTGTGTGGGAGTTCCCACCTAAAGAGGATGAACATTTTTCCAAGTCTGCTGTTACTGTGTGACTGTTCAGTACAAGAAGGAAGGAAATCACTGGTCTGTCCTCTGTAGAACTGTTCCACCCTGATTGAAATCCACATTTTAGGCTGATGTTCTTAATGTGTTGCATTAACTTTTCACCAGCAATGCTAATTTTAATCCTTTTAAAAGGAGCATGTTTGGGTTTTGGTGGAGACCAAAGAAACTTGATGGTGAGATTTGTTTGCAAGTGTCTGGAAAGTGTGTGGAAAACGTTTGCTGTGTCTTTGGTCCTTGCAGCCATGAGGTTCTGGTGGCTGCAGAGACTGTCCCTCACTCCTCTGCCTAAGGTTTGAACCCTTGTGCCTGTTGTATGTGCAGGCACCAGACTGACCCCCACATGGACTGGGAAGATGAGCTTGCAATTGTTTTCACTGCAGGAGGCAGCAAATTGTGTTGTCTTTTATGTCAAAACAGAATTAAAAGAATTTTGCCCCAGACTTCAAATGTGTGGATAACTGTAGGTGATAACTGTGTGATCAGAAAATAACTTACTGTTCTGGGACATAGGCCAGGTTAATGTGCTCTTCTTTCTTTTCAGTTTGCATTGCTTTGGCTTTTTTGCTTTTTCCAAGGCATCACACTGTTTCAGAATATGTTAAATTAAAAAAAGCTTTGCAGTACCGGAGTTACTGGCCTGTCATTCTTGGTAGGCTGTTCACATAAGGAAAAGTCTCGTGTTCCTGTGCATCCCCTGCAACCAGGCAGTGATGAGTGACTGGACTCACTGTTCCCATGGTGCTTTAGCTGCTCACAGATGTGCTGTGGTTTGGGGGTTTCCTGCTCTGTCTGATGGTGAATTACAGTTAACCTCAGTTTCTGTGAAAGGGTTGGTGAATTTGTCAGTGGTTCAGGAGTGGCTCAGTGGGGCATCACCCTGCAGCACTGACGTTGGATACATGTCATGACCTCAGAGGGGGTCAGTCTCTGGGTCTTAATGTTTTCTGGAGTAAATCCATTTCCTGTGGGTTTCTTCTCCTGCTGTCAGTGGATGTTGACCTGGATCACCTAAGCCATCGTTGCTATCTTATGTCTTCATTTGGAGTTGCAGTGTAGTTTTTAAGGCTCCAACTCTGCAAAAAGCTGAGCTCAGCAATGACAGTGGCACAAGGTGTGAGCACAGTTGGGTTCCAGTAACTCCCAGCTTTGTGCTTCCCAGAGCTGCAGGCATTGTTTTTATTTGGCTGCCTTTCATAAATGTTGTCATCTTCAGTTCTCCTTGTCCTTCCTGTTCTCTGGGAGTTAAAATGCTGGCATAATGATTTCAGCCCTGTGCTCTATTCCCAGTAATTCCTTGCAGTTGTTTTTGCTGTTGCAGAGCAGTGATTTGGCATTTTCATAGTGCTTTCTATCATTATGCCAGATCCTCATTCCTGCATAGTAATGCCCAACCCTGAGCATTAACTGCACACATCTACAGTGTGAATTTTATCTGCTATTGTACTGCCCAGTCAGCAGTAAGAACTCCTTCATCTCTCTGCAGGTGGTGCTTGTGTTCACTGCTGAGTTGCTCGGTGTCATAACCAAATGGTGCCATCCTGATATTTACCCTGAGCAAACAGGCCCAGGGGCTCCCAGAGGAGACACCCCAGCCTTCGTTCCAGGTCTCTTCACCACTCATGGTGCTCTCTTGATTTGCCCCAAGACACCTTGGGGTGTTTTGAGAGCCTTTACTAAGGGGCCTCAATGAAGGATTTGTGGGAATCTAAAAACACCCCCAGTAAACTGAGTTGGGACCTGAGGGTGGGCCCTCCCTGTGCCTCAGCTTTGCTGGGTTATCCCAGCCCTGCCCCTCACACACCCCAGGGATCACTGAGTGATCCCAGCCCCTCACACACCTCAGGGATCACTGAGTGATCCCAGCCCTGCCCCTCACACACCCCGGGGATCACTGAGTGATCCCAGCCCTGCCCCTCACACACCCCAGGGATCACTGAATCTACTGAGTTCTTCCAGGGGCTTTTACAAAGCTGTATCCTCTTGGGAATCTCGAGGCCCTCCAGTAATAATGCGTTATAAATTGATACAATGCACATCACATTTAGTGCTCATTTAGTGTTTCTTCCTTGGGTTCCTTTGGATATCATCTGAACTTGGCAGGTAGCTGCTGTTTATGAGACAGGTGTTTGGGTTTGGATTTAATATTTTACTCCTGTCCTCTCACCACTTTTACTCTTGCCCTTTAACCACAGGGCTTTAAACTTCAGAGAAAATCCTTGGCTGTTCCCCGTGAAGGTTTCTGACATGGGAATCTTCCCAAACTTCTTGTTTGTGACCATATTGAGCCTTATCTTTTTTGAAAATACAATATTATGTGGCTCTTATGCCTTTTGCAAGTAGTTTCTTAAATTCTTGTGTACTGTTGGCCTCTTTTGATTTTTTTTTTTATTTATAGCTTGATAGATCTTTATTTTCTTGATGTTGTCCATTTATTAGTAGGCCATATAAAAAAAAACAAGTGTAGAATAAAGATAAAAACCCTCATTAGAAATACTTTTTAAATGGTTAAACTTGAAACTACAGTCCTGTACAGACACAAACCTGACATTAGCCACTGAAATTACTGTTTAGAAAGTAATGCTTAGATAGCCCACTGTTCCAATCAAGATTTTCTAGATCACTGAACTGATGGGAATTTGTAGCTAAATCCCAGAAACTACAATTCATGGAATGCTGAGTGAGCCTTAATAACAATCAACTGTTCTACAGACATAGATACTTTTTTTCAGCTTGCTGGTTTGGTTTGAGCTGAGAAAGTGAGAGAACTGAGAAGTTACTCCTGCCCTGGCTCTCCACGTATCAGCTGTTGTTAGTACTAGAAGAGATGTGATTTATTCAAGGAAATTACCTGTCTGATGCTCATTTTCTGTGCTTGGCAGCGATGTCTCTGGAGGTTCTGGTGCCTGTAAGGGAGGGGACAGTGAAACACTCGTGTTCTTTGGGATATAAGAGTGGGGAATTCTTGCAATAGATTTGAAAAGGCCTTTAAATTCTGCTGGACTGGCTGTATCTTAGGCAGCCAAGGAGAATGTGCAGTTCCATTCTGCTTTAAACAGCTTACCCTACTTCATGCTTTTATTTCATTTACTGAATTATCTTCATGGCTAAATCATGTTCTCCATAAGAGAAGTCTGGAAGGAAATGAATTTTAGGAGATGGAAAGGGTGGTTGGTGGGGGTTTTGTTCACCTTTTTGGACAGTGTTGTATGAGAGCATCCCTTTCTTGCCTTAGTGTTGTAACAGGTTAGTGTGTGTAGCTGAGCAGGCACCATTTTCACTGTTTGCTAAATAGAGAATTAGAGGAGCTTATCTGGGACAAAAATGTTTGGAACATCATCCAAAGTACAGCCATTCTTTAAGTGCTGCAGTGCTTTGAGATTCAAAATTATTAGAAATATTTATGTGATTTAGAAAGTAAATAAAAGCATTTAATATTGTTTAACATGAAGAATGATTCAAATACTTTACTAGAGTAAAAATGAAAGAGGAGAGCTGTGTTAAGGTAACGAGCAGCAGGTGTGACCAGCACCTTGCTGTGGGTTGGGAGGGAATCAGAGCTCAGCAGAGAGTGAGACTCAGACTCTGTACAGAGGCAAAATCTGCAGGTTAGAAAACTTGGAGCCACAGGGTGCTAAAGGAGTCTCCTGTTCCAGGAAATTACAGGGAACAGCTAAATATGTTCTCACTTTGAAATCAACTGCTGATACACAGCAAAGGAGACTGTTATTTGAAGACATTCAGAATGGGCTGGAGGAAATACTGCAATGGAATCACATGGAGGTGATAAAAAACTAAAAGGACCTTTTTGTCGGTTCTGTTGTTTTGGGGGTTTTTATCCAGTAATTTATAGCAGTGTTTTTAACTCACAATTCAAATTCAGTGCTCTTTGCTAGTGGTGTCTGGATTAAATCATGTTGAAGTTACCACAACTCTTTCTGGTGATTGTAATTGGAAAGTTAATTTCTCATCGCTGTGGGAATTCAGCATCTGGTTACATGGGGCTTCTGCAGTTGGACTGAGCTCCTTCCCAAGGCGAGTCCATGCTCATGTGATGGGCTGGCTCGTGGCTGGGGACGTTCTTATTCACTGTGGACTTAGCCCTTGTTCTAGAGCTCCTGCCAAGGAAGTAGAACTCCAGCATTTGGACAGCTGGACAAGCTTTCATTGACAGTGGAACTTCTACTGATTGGTCATTGCAACCCTTCCAGAAATAGTTTGAGAAAAGCAGGAGATGCTGAGGTGCCAAACTGCTACAGCCTCGTTCAGGATAATGAAGGGCAAGGATCACAAATTCTGATCCAGAGTGAATGGCCACTGAAAATAAAAGATGAAAATCACTCGATAACGTCCCACAAAAAGCAGTGTTGTAGCTCCATGTACTCAGTGGTGGACACTGGGTTGTTACTGCTTGAGGTGATGGTTTGTTAGACAAAACTTCACTGTCCAGTTGTGATAGAAACAGCAGAAGAAACTGGTGGGAAGAACAAAGAAAACCTGGAATGCAGTTATGCCTCTGTGACAGGTGCTGCCCCCCAGGTTGGGATCCTGTCAGTCTGATCCCCCAGCTCAGGAAAGCACAGCAGGACTGGGAAGGACAGCTGGAGGTCCAGACAGGTCAGGCTGGCAGAGAGGGAAGGGAGAAGGCCAGGCTGTTGAAGTCTCCAGTGGCACGGAGAGCTCTGTTCCCCAGTCTCATCCTGGAGCTACAGTGGAGGGCACTGGCAGGGCAGGAGCTCAGCACCAAGGAAGGGTCATGTTTCTTCTGTCAGTCTGTAATGAAGCTTTCCTGGGAATGTAGGGGGTGGTTAAAATGCTGCATGGATTTAGAAGTGAGTGGAAATGCACAAAAGGCAAGTGCTTGGAAAGCAGGGGGAGAGCCATCCCCTGAGCTGCCGGCGGGTGGCTGGAAGGTGCCTGGCTTTGCTGGGAAGCATCTGGGCATCCCAGTGCCTCTCGTGATGCACATCCAGAGTCAACTGCTGTTTGTCACTCTCAGGGTCAGGATAAGGCTGGACTGTGCTAATCTGACCTCATCCTGTTCTTGTATTCTTCAATTTTTAGGATCCTTTTCTCTTCATTCTCCTTGTATGCGAGGTGTGAAAAATCTCACTCTTCCTCGTGGGTATCCCACAACTAAATTGCCGGAGCAAATTCTGCTGCATAGGGCAGCACTTCAATAAACCTCTCATAGCTTTTGGCTGATGCTTTCTGGTAAGAAAATTTGGGAAGCTTAGGCCATTGTGGCTTGTAGCACAGAGGTTCAGCTGTGGTTTGTTGCCAGAATAGCTGCTGATTGTGTCCCACCTGGCTGTGGCTCACCTCAAAGCCTTGCTCATGTTCTCAGCCCCTGCCACCTGGGAATATCTGGGCTAGCTGAGAAAATGAATCACTTGAGCTGCTGCCTTCCCTTGGGTGTGCACATCAAGGACACCTGGACAGCCACAGGAATGCAGGATGTGGTACTGGTGGGGCACAACTCCAGCACCAGAGGGATGGGCAAAACAGGGCTTTGGGAGCGATCCAAACAACTGAGTGTCGTGCCCAAATCAGCACCTCCAGGGGTGGTCCTGGTGCTGCTGTGTGTCCAATATGTGTGTGTAAGGAGGCTCTTTGGAAGGAGCTGGGTCCCATTTTGGTGTTCCCTTGGCTGTGTTGGCACACAGGGGAGGGAGTGGCAGCAGGGAACTTATCCCAGTACTGTGAGTGCAGAGCGGGGCTGGGGGGTGTTGGTGGAGCATGTGGAGGAGTTTGGTAGGGCCTGTTCCCTTCCTGAAGTGCAGCTGAAACAGTGTTCTTTGTGAGTGTGGGGGTCTTGATGGATACCTAGTACTGATGACAAATGAGTTGAGGGGTAATCTGGCCCTACCTACCTGCAAAAACCTGACCATGGCATTATAGAATCGTTTAGGCTGGACACGACCTCTAAGATTGAGTCCAACCATTAACCCATCGCTGCCAAGGGCACCACAGCCCTAAACACCACACCTTGGAAATCCCTGCAGGGTTGGGCTCTCCACCACTGCCCTGGGCAGCCTGGGCTGGGCTGGACAGTCTTTTATGGGAAGAAATTTTTCCTAAGATCCAACCTAAACTTTCCTTGGGGCAACTTGAGGCTGTTTCCTCTTGTGTCTTGCTTGCTGCATTGAAGTGTTACATAATGCCTTGTTCAAGTCTGTTTTGTTGATCATGTTATTTTGATGTGTGAGTCACTCAGAAGTCATGGTTAGCTTGTGTGGAAAAGTAATTGCAGGGGAAAAGTTTTTATTTTCCCATTCTAAAAATGTAGCTTTAAAGTTCCTCTGCTTAACAAATGCTTACTTGCTCATTCCTTGTAAATGCATTAGGGACCAAAATTAAACAAACTGAAGTATTAAGTGATTTACTTTATCACTGTTGTTAACTGCATCACAGAAATCATGAGTAATGCCCAAAAGCTTTGGACACAAGGTTTGCCAGCTGATTTGTGCCTTGTTCCCAGTCTGGGGAAATACTCTGGAGTTCAGCTGTCCTGCTCCAAAGTGCTTTTTCTGGACCCTGAGCGTAGCACTGCTGTGGGTTCAGTTATTGCTCAGTTCATCACTGCTCCAGGAGTGCTGGGGGTAGCCTGGGAGAGCATCCCCAGCTCCTCAGGGGAAGCAGAGTGGCTCCAGCTCCACCTCAAGAACCAGCTCAGTGCCCAGCTCAGTGCCAGGTGAGAGAAGGGCTGATCTCTGGGAACAAAAGAATCCGATGAGTGGATGATGTAACTGACCCAGAGACGTAAAATTCACACAACTAAAAAACGCGTGAACGTGCCTTTGTGGCCCAGAAGGTGTTGGATTGTAAAATGGTTTGGGGTCCAGTAAGAGTATTGTGTTCTCTACAATGCGCACAATGAAGCCAATTCCAGCTACACTTAACTGCAGGAAAGTGTGCTCTTATTTTAAAGGAAACTATACATTTCCTTTGTGTTTGTTTGTCGTTTTTCCTGGACTGTGTTTTTCCAGTTTAGAGCTCCATGAGAACCTAAAAAGGGCACCTGATGTTGTACATTACCAGACTGTGTTATTTGGGTTAGTCTAGAAATAAGAGAAAAAAGAAGAGTAAAAGCATCACTTCACACTGAGTAACAAAATTAAGTTGTTCTTCTGGCTAGAAGGAACTGCTGCCTCAGGAGTGTAAAACTTTGGCATGAATAACCTGTTGTGGATCAGCCTTAACAGGTTTGCTGCAAACTTCACTGAAATGTAAAAGAGTTGGATTATTTTTCTCTCTTTGTAAGACATACTGACCTGTCAGTCAGCAGGCTGGTCAGTCACAACCAAGACTCCTTGTCAGGAATGTATCAGAGCCTCTCATCTTCTCCTGAAGCCCGAGGCTGTTTGTAAGAGTGCATGATCAGCTTTAGAAGAGTGATACTTTCTCTGGACACAAATGAACCCTGAGCTTGCTTCTCCTTGCCCAGCCTGCACAGGTGCCCCCTCCAGCTGTTCATCTGCTGCAGACCTTTTCACTGGCAGATGAACTGCAAGTGTGCTTTGGTCCCTGCTTTGCAGGAGTTCAAATGACTTAGATACTCAGAGGTGATGAGGGCAGGGGTCACAAACGAGTGACAGCTGCACATCTGGCAGCACAGCAGCTTTGGCATCAGTCCAACAGGGAATCTGCCTTAACACTCGGATATTTGGAGGCATTCCAAGAGAAAGGGAACTGTTGCCTTCCTGCTTTTCTTATCTGTGACTGGGGCTGCTCCCTGTGGAAGCTCTGCTGGTGGAGGGGGTGCTGGGGGAACGCCAGAGCCAGTGCTGAGGTGGAGCTGGCAGAGGCATCTGCAGTGCAGGGGCTGGTGCTCACAGAGCAAGAACCCTGCAGGTGCCCAGCTGAGGAGGAGGATCGGGCCTCTACTGCCTGAGGGGTTTGGAGCTTCACCCTGGAGCACTGGCACCTTGGCTGGAGGCCTCAAACAGGCCATGCTGGCTAAAATGTGTTGGAAGAATAAATCAATGTATTCTCAGAGACTGTGTTCTATAATACCTGGCCTTAAGGCGATTTTTGGCGGTCTTAAATGCAACATCCAGATTGTGGCAAAACCCTAAATATGTGGGAGTAGGACTGTCTAGTTCTATGATAATTTCCCCCCCATTTTACCAGTGGTGTACTGGACTGCTCCACATGAGTTAGTCTCTGTGTTTGAGGGATAAGATTGCCAAAGATGCTTTGTACATCAAGTAGATCAGAAACAGCTTCACCACTCTAAAAACTTTAATGGAGGGAGTCTGGGGATATGTTCTGAAAAATCCCATTGCTTCCTTCAGTAAGAGCACAAACTGTTTTCATTGCTTTCTTATATTTGCAAGGTGGGGACCATCTGGGGTACTGATCTCTAACACTGCTGGCTGTCCTAACACGTGTGCCTTAGGGCTGTGCTTTCACACACCTGCCCTCTGGGGTTTGGCACTGCTTTCTGCCTTATTTTCAGGGTAACTGTTGGGTTCTTAGTGGATCTCTTGTCTCAGGATTCTTTCCTTCCAGAGGTTATTTTCCTTGTAATGCATCTCCTTTATTGCTTGTGTACAACACCTAAAATACTCCTCCCCCTGTCAAAACACAGTGCTGTCCCTCTTGCAGGTAAGAAAGTAACACAAACCCCTGTTCTACCCAGGGCTGAGTGTGATGCAGTCCCGGCCCTGCCTGTCCACGGGCACTCTTTGGGCAGCAGCATTCCTTGCTTTTCGGGCCTCACCCATCGCAGATAACCCCGTGGTCGTTGCAGGTGATCCGCAGGAGCAGCGACGAGGAGAAGCTGCTGTGCCTGGTGAGGCAGCGGGCGGGACACCACTGCCAGACAGCTGTGATCGTGATCCTGATCCTGGCCTGGGAGGGCATCCCCCACCTGCTGGCGGACACGCTGTACAAGGAGCTGACGCAGAGCCTGCGCAAGTACGGCTGCCCCACCAGCCGCCGGTGCGCGCTCAACGAGGAGTGAGTCCCTTCTTCCTTCTGGGCTGCCTGGGCTCGCGGGGACAGCCTGGCCAAGCAGCACTGCAGCTGCACAAGGGTACCCGAATCCCAAACCGCCGGGTGTCACCTGTGTCACACCTCCTTCCTGGCTCTGTGGGAGTCGTAGGTGCTGTGCCGGGGAGGGGTGGCCGTGAGCTCCTCTCCTGGCTCTGTGCACGCTGTCCCAGTGCCCTCTGCACACCCACCGGGCTCCAAGAGCTGCCACCAAGCTAGGCTGGGACTTGTTAAAACAGATGTGATCCTGAACCCGGGATCTCCCTCTCTGTGCCTCTGAGAGGAACTGAGTTTGTTTAATAAGAATATATTATAAGTGCAGTGCTGCCTTTGTGCTGACCTCTGGGTAGCTCACATTTCACAGCCTCATGGCTGTTCAGGGACCTGAATCTAATGCCTGTGTTCCTAAAGGGTTCACTTTGAAAGTCAGATCAATTTGGAGTTAATGGTATTGCTGCACATAACACAATAACTACTGAATTTGGGGGTAACCTTTACTGCAGGGCTACTTTCCTGGGTAAAAACATTATCCAACTGGAGAATTCAAAATGAAAGTAGCATGGGTGTATTTATAGAGCTCTGACTGAGTATTTATTTCCCAGAATTAGCTCTGGGGGGAGCTGAGTCTGTTGTCCTGGGGAGAAAAGTCAGCCCTCTACACATGAATATTTCCTTCACAGAAAATATCTGGTTAAGCCATGTATTTTATCAATTCCTTTGTTTTATGCTGTGTATTGTAAAAGAAACAGCAAATAGCATTGACCTAAAAACACCCCAGACCCAAGAGCTGTGTTGCCAGCTGACCTGACTTGTCTTTATTTCCTTTCCTAGTCGTACTTGTGCATGTCAAGGACTTGACCCAGAAACTTGTGGAGCATCATTCTCATTTGGCTGTTCATGGAGTATGTATTTCAATGGCTGTAAGTTTGCCAGGAGCAAAAACCCCAGGAAGTTTAGGCTTCTCACTGATGACCCTAAGCAAGTAAGATTTCTTTTTTTTTTTTCCCCCTCCAAACGCATCTTCTGATGATTTTCAGAACTGGAAGTGGAATCTCTGAGTCCCCATCCCCTTTTCTCTCATACACATGTGCAGAGCTTATCACAGGCACACAGCCAATGCAGGTTTTTTAACTGTAGTATTCAGAATCATTATTCCACTGGATGAAAACTCAGTGTCACTGATGTATTTAAATGCCCTAAAATTGTCCTTAAATGCTTCTCTGCGTGTTTAGCTCTGTGTGTAACCTGTGGGAAACGTTCACTCTTTGGAAGTGTAAGAAACAGCTTGAGGGTTTCTCTGAGGACCAAGCCTGTAGCTCAGACATTCAAGGCTTCTGCCTTGGCACAGAAAATGTTGTACCTTGGGGTTGCACTCTAGGACCAGCTGACAGCCTGGGCTTCCCTCTGTCACCAAGAATAAACTGGGTTTTTTTCTGTGGACAGCATGTTTTTTAAATGGTTTTGAAGGAATGGGTACACTAAAACATGATGCAGTGAAGTGATTCTGTTAATTGCAGGTTAGGAGTGCTGGTGATGTCACAAAGGTTGAGGCAGCACAGAAGTTTATGATGGATTATGTGAAGTAACAAACATGTAAAACACCCAACCCCATTAGTGTTTTACTCTGAAAGTATTTTCATGAGGAAGGAATAAAGGTGTTGTGAGCTGAAGGCAGAACTGGCCTAACCCAACCTTGCTTGTCTCAGGAGGAAATTGTTTTATAAACTTTGTTTATAGGAAAATGTGTCTATTGGGCTTCTCTTATTTGAGGAATCCTGTTCCTTCTGTCTTCTGCCATTCCCTGTGTGTTCAGGTTCTCCCTCTGTCTAAAGCTGTTCATGGAGCATTCTGGGCAGGCTCGTTCTCTGTAGGTTTGGGATGCTCTGAATTAGCTGGGGAAGCCACCAAGGCAGAACCTCCCTGTGTGTCTGAGCAAACACAGAGCTGAGGCAGCTCCAGAAGCTCTGTGCTCAGAGCAGGCTCAGTGGCACTCTTGTTTTTGGCATTATTTCTTCTAGCAGGTACTTCTTTTTGCTAAATGCTGGCTATTGATTGTATTGCAGATGACATAAAGCTAAAAGGTATTAATAAAATTAAATTTTCAATTAAGAAAGCAAATCGAGAAAAAGGTAGTTTTAAAGTCCAGGAAGAGTTGGATCATTTGAGGCAGTGGATGGAGTGAGATGGGTTAAGGGTTATAAGTTAATATCCCTAGGTAAGAATGGTGCCTAGGATAGATAATGGAGGATATGTTACCTTCAGTGCAGTTCAGAAACCCAGTGGAGGCATTTCCAGCTGATGAACTGGCTGTGGGGTGAGTTCAAAACACACTGTCTTGGAAGGGAACACTGCATGGAAAGCGAGTCTCCTGTACACTGGTGTGTACAGGGTATGGGGACAAGTGGGTTTGGGTTTTTCAAACAAAACCAGCTGTTGTTTTTTGCATTTCCACACGATGCAAAACTGAAGCTGCAGTTGTGTCCCAAAGCCTGGGCCTTGCAGGAAAACAAAGCAGGTCTATCACCAGTTGCTTGGTGATTTTTCTGGTAAAGTGAAAACTTAGGATAAGAACTCGAATGTGATGCTGCCATACAAGCCCACCCAGCTAATTCTGAGCTTATATGGCTTAGCCTAAGGAAAGGAATATTATTTCCAAGTCTAATAGGTATTTCCACAAAGTCCTGAGTCTTGCACCTCCAAAGAACAAAGGAGTTAACAAATGTTTCTGGTGGAAGTTCTGTTGCAATATGAGAAATGTACCTCTGAGAAAAGACCAAAGAGCTGAAATGAATGTTAAATGCAATTGGGAGTTTCTCATACAGTTAAAGGAAATGTACTGGAAACCTGGGCTTCTTTTAGCAGAGCTGTGTCAATGTGGATTAAGGCCCATAAGCAAAACACCAAAAGAAGACCTGAGGCTCCTTCCCTGCTCACATGTGGTGTGAGTTTTGTCCTCTGGTTTTGCGTGGAACGTGCCCCGCTCCTTGACAGGAATCAGAACTGATGCAGAAATGAGTTCCCCTGCGTTGGGTTTCTTTGCCCCAGCAGATCCCCTCCATTGTTGTTTGTTGATTTATATCTAACAATGTTGGTGTGTTGGTCGTGCCAAATAGACATTTATGGCTAGTGACAAAGGGCAGCAGGACAGAAGTTAGATTAATAAAACAGGAGGTAGAGGCTGTCAGGCATCTCTCACCTGGCTGAGATGCTTTCAAAGCCACCTCTAGCACTGAACGTTGCCTTTCTCTGCAGGAGGAACTTCTGGAAAATAATCTACAAACGTTGGCTACTGATGTGGCTCCAGTGTATAAGAAGCTTGCTCCAGAAGCCTTCCAGAACCAGGTAGGTGTGTGACACTCAGCTCTGAGCAGCAGCGTGGTCCCAAACCTCACGGTGCCCTGGAGCTGCTGCTTCTGGGGGCATTTGGCAGGTTCTAATGTACTGCACCTCTGGATTTGAACTGGGGGTTAAGTTATGCCCTGAGCTGGGCACAGGGGAAAAAGGCTCAGAGATAATACTGTAAATAAATTGGTTTCCCTATTTCAAGACACTCTGACTCTGGCTGACCTGATTATCTCACTGACATCCAGCCAGAAGTGTTCCATTTTTGATAGGGAAGCATGTGCTCTCTGATCACTGCGGCTTCTCGGCTGCCTTCACTCTGTCACAAGGGAGGTGATGGCCTTGGGGCTCCCAGCCCCTCCCTCTGAGTCCCAAGTAGCTGTAGTTTATTGTCCTTGCAGGTGGAGAATGAGCACATGGGCCCCGACTGCCGGCTGGGCTGCCAGGCGGGCCGGCCCTTCTCCGGGGTCACGGCCTGCATCGACTTCTGCGCCCACGCGCACAAGGACACCCACAACATGCACAACGGCAGCACCGTGGTACGTACAGCACGGGGCAGGGGGGCACCCACACAGGGATCACTGCCTGGGTGGGGCTGGCTCAGGGATCGCTGTAGGACGGTTCTGGCTCAGGGATCGCTGTGGGACGGTTCTGGCTCAGGGATCGCTGTGGGACGGTTCTGGCTCAGGGATCGCTGTGGGACGGTTCTGGCTCAGGGATCGCTGTGGGACGGGGCTGGCTCAGGGATCGCTGTGGGACGGGGCTGGCTCAGGGATCGCTGTGGGACGGGGCTGGCTCAGGGATCGCTGTGGGACGGGGCTGGCTCAGGGATCGCTGTGGGACGGGGCTGGCTCAGGGATCGCTGTGGGATGGGGCTGGCTCAGGGATCAGTGTATGGATTGGGGCTGGTTTAGGGGCTGTGCACAGAGCCAGGGATCAGTGTGATCACTGAATCTCAGTGTGGAAGGGAAACCCACAGATGGGTGTAGCTGTTGCACCAACACCTCGCTGGACTGCACTGAGAAATGGGTTGGGAATTACTCAATTCAGTGATCTTTTAGAAATACAGAACAATGTTGAAGCAAGCCGAGCTCAAAGCAGCAAAGACAAAACTGGCAATGTCCTCTGAGCAGCAGGGCTCTAAAGAGTGAGGGTTTCTCGTACAGCAGTGCAGGTAACACTCAAGTAACTTCTCTATCAAAGGATGGATATCTAGAAAAAAATCTGTCTAAAATCTCTGCCTACCTTAGAGACAGTCTTTTTTAAAATTTGGAAATGCAAATTGAATTAGTGTTGCTCTGATGCAAAAAAATGTTGTATTTACACCTACAGTTAACATTCAGGTTTTGGATGTAGCAGCAGTGAAATGACTGGGACAGTCGTTTAATGTTAATTGTGTGCTTGTAAGGAGAGCAAATGGCTGTTCCTTTAGAGCATGGAAGCAGGTCTGGGAATTCACCAGGAATGTCAGTCCTCAAGAGACCATTTTTGCCAGCACTGAATGCCACTTCTGTGTGGATATTCTATATAAGAATGTTAAAGTGTACATTGCAAAATTGCTTCTGAAGTGTAGGAATTGAATGCCCTTGAAGATCCTAAACTTGAAAATGAGGCTTCCTTGTCAGACAAACTGCATGGTATGGTCTTTGATGAAATTTAGTTCAGGTGTTCTGAAAATAACAGTTTAAGTGGTTCGTTGCCTCTTAAGTTAAAAGACAAAATGAAATGGAAACCAAGTCTTCTACTCATTCTGCCATGCTGGATCCCAGAAAAGTCCTAAGTTATGGCCAGAAGCAGCTGCAGGGACAATTAAACCTTTTGTATTGAGGGGAACAGTTCTACAAATGTATTTATCTATAATCATCTGATGTCACTGCAGCTTCAGATTATCCTCGCTGGTGTTGATACTTTATGGCTTGTACAGGGTGTGTTTGCAAGTAATTCTGTCTCAGAATCTGGGAATGTTAAAACTTGTGTAAGGCCATTGTGTGGGCTAGAACTTACCATCATTTACTATCAAGTTCTGCCAAATTCTGTCAGTCTTGCAGAACATTACCACATCATTTTAACTGCTGAAAACTGTACCTTGCAACCTGCTTTTCACTGGGTAGCTCCCTCACAAATAACTACTGCATACCTGTGTTGTCTTTATTTAGGTGTGATTGCTCTTTATTTCAATGTACTTACAGCAAGGGGCTATTTGTAAATAGGAAAGAGCTGTAAGTATTAACACCCAATTTACCTTCTTGAACTGGGACACTGAAGGTGAATCAGAGCTGGAGATCCCCCGTGGTCTGTGGGGACAGGACACAGCATGTGTTCTGTCTGGGTCACAGTTACAGTCACATGGACTGGAACACTGAAGCAAAAAATGTTGGTTTTTTGCAGACAAGGTGGCAGGACACGCTGGGCTTGCTTCAGTCTAGATTGTTGTGATGGCAATCAAAATTAGGGTTGTTAATTTTGGCTTGAAACCAAAGCTGGTAATACCATAGGAAATGTAGTGGTAAGAACACAAAAAGAAATTAGTATGTGTGATCCCAGCACCTGTCTGGGCACCTCCTGCAGTCCTGTCTCGTTCCAGAAGCTGCTCTGGGGCTCCTTACTCAGTTTAAAATATGAGATGACTTCTTATGAATCACTGGCAATAATGATGGTGTGGTCACTTACAGAACTGTGACATATTTTGTCTGTAAAATGCAGTGTGTGTGCAAGTACAACACCTGAGGTGACAGCTCTCACACACTGCTCTGATAATGTGATAATGGACAGAAGGAAAATGATTTGCACTACCTTAAAAACCTCAAGCATCCATGGCTTTACTATTTTTGTCTGGTGTTTTGATGGATTTTTTTCACTGCTCATCACACCTTACACTTTTAAAATCTCTACACAAGTGTACTTGTCATCTTGGCCTCATTAGTGTTGGTAAGATTTCTCCCCTTCCTCCTTATTCCAACACCAAATGCTCATTTATAAAATCTAAAGCTCCTCTGGGCTAAGAAGGTTCAGGTAAATACCTTGTGAGATGGGTGAATGCTGCTGGTTCTGCTGGTGGAAGTGACACTTTCCCTGTTCTCCCCTTGTCATTGGTGCCCACTCGTTCCACAGGGATGGAAGGAATGCTGTGCAGGGCACCCAAAGGAAGGGACAGACGCAATCTATTCAAATTACTTAAACCAGGCACAGCAAAACACTTGGGTGAGGTTAATGATAAGGAATGAGTTTACACTTAAAAGAATACACTATCTAATGAGCTGCCAATAATAATTTCCTTCCACTGCCTCTGCCAGAACTAAAGAAAAGCATTCTTGGATTTCTCTAGGTATGTATTTGATCAGCTGCATTATTTGTATGTGACTGAGAATAAATCAGGCTATCGTGTAGCACTCAGAGAGTCTTGGAAATGCCTTCTGTAATACAAGAGAAAACAGAGCATCTTAACTTACCCAAATTGAGGATTACTATTGGTAATTTTTGGAGATCTGAGAGACTGAACATCGTCCCTGGCCAGAAGAGTCATGCCCTGAATTTAGCAGAGCTGCTTTTGGGAGAAAGCTGAAAATACAAACTGCTGTTCCCTGCTTGCTCTGTACATGTGACAGTTCTACAGAGATGTAAACCAATGTGCTTAGCTGAGAGAAGCCAAAGTAATTTTTGCCAATGAATTTTTTTTTAAGAACTTTAAGGCAATAAATACACCCTCCATTTTTACTCAGACATTTGTGTCATCTCTGTGTTCTCCAAGGGCCCAGCTGTACGTGACAGCTGCAGTGTCAGGGCAGTGTTCCCTGGGGGATGGAAGCCAAAGGAGCAACACAGAGAGAAGCTTTATAGTTGTTAGTGGAGTCTGAAATGTAAGTTCTGGTGTTTCTTTCCTGGATTAGCTGGGAAGGATCACACTGCTCACACCTGTGGGAATCCCCTTCAGTCACATGGGCACAAAGGCGCTGCAGGCCCTGGCTGGGACTGTTCTCACCCGACAGGGCACAGGATTGTGGGGCTGGGGCTGAGCAAGGGGACAGCAGTGCAGTTGTGTGGGATCCCTGGAGCCACACAGACTGCAGAGGCACTGGGAAGAAGAGCAGGAAGGTAAATCTGTGCTTCAAGGGCAGCTACAACATATTATTGGCAGCAGAACCAAGTAGTGTCAATCAGCAATCCATCCACAAAATGTTCCTGATTTGGATAAAATCCCAAAACCTCTGCTGTTCCCATCCCTTCCTGTACTTGTGTAGGACAGGCCACTGTGTCACAGCATGTGGCTCCAGGTCTCTGCAGGGGCTGACAGGATATCTCTGCATGGTTACACCACATTGCCTTTGCCTTGGGAGCTGCAGGAGAACCAGGGGGCAGGCTGGGCCTTCAGGTTATAACAGAGGAGAGAAGATAAACCCCCTGGCTGTAAAGGAAGGGTTCCCAGCTGTGTTACTGTGAAAATGGAGAAGCATTTCACGGTCCCTCTGGTAACCTGTGAGTGCCCAGAGAGCAGCTCGAGTGCTGTGCCAGTGCTGGGGGGCAGGGAATGCTCAGATGAAAACACAGGTGGGGGTCCCCCCTCCAGTGCTGACCTGCACACACCTGTCCAGGGGGATCAGACCAGCAGAAGCCCCTGGCTTGTCTCGGCTGCAGGAGAAGCACAGGGGTCTGGGTGTCCTGGCAGGCAAGGATGGAGCAGCACCTGGGCCCAGGGACAGCCACTCTGCTCTCCAGCTGCACAGGGAAGGTGTGGGGAGGAAACCTGCTTCCATCTTCAAGGTTTAGAAAGGCTGTTTGACTGCTCTGCTGAAACGTGAATTTAAAACATCTGTTCTTACAACACAGTGGAAAAGACTCCATTTCTACATGTGAGGGTCAGGAGGACAAAGGCAGATCAAAGAGTCCCAGAATAATGCACTGGGAGCTGTGTGCCTACAGATGTTTCTCTGGAGATCTCTGGAGGGGATGGGATTGAGTTCTGGTGCACTTTAAGTTTAAAAGAAATTATTAATCAAGTCTTACAGATACGCAAGTTTTACCATGACATCACCAAACCCAGAACAGGTAATGGGTTTGACCACCACACACACTGGAAACCTAAACAAACCACTTGGCCAACATTTTCAGTGACCTTTGAGCATCCTGGATGATTTAGCTGCATGTTCTGGAAAAAGCAAAATAGCAGGATATGCAGCTTCACCCTGTGTAAATGGCCTTTACAGAGCTGATGGTTTTCTCATGCTCGGGTTTGATTTTGGCCAGTTTGCAGCACAGTTTCAGTACCAATGGAAAGTGTTGCTTTTGACTTCTCAGCAAAAGCTTCTCTCTGAGTTTTCTTAATGGAATATTTTGCACAGATTTGAATTCTGGAATGTGGGGGGTTTTTTAGCAGGTATTTCTCATTTGGTGGCTTACCACCTTCAGCTGTAAGATGCTGGCTTATATGTACAGCCTTCACTTGTAGCTTGTTTCCCTATAACATTAATTTTTCAATTATCCATTTACCATTGTGTCCTCACTTTTATGTTAAAATGTATTGGGGGGCACTGACCTTGAAATTCTACATGTATTAGAATAGCTGTTGTGGAATTTAGGCTGTAGGTGTACTGGTCTTCAGGCTTTTAACAGTTTTGGATATGCATTCATTTCTTGATGTGTTCTAACTCAGTATTTAGTATAGGGTGTGTTGGAGTTGACTACACTTTCACCATAGTTTTGTCAATATATTACAGCCCTCATCTTGTTCAGTGCCTCAAAACAGTTCCCCAGCTTTCCTGTTCCGAAGAGGGTGTTGGCTTTTGCATGGAAATTTAGAACAGTAAACTGGATGAGGGTCTCAGTTTTCAAAATAATCAAGACCAGATTGAATCTTCAGGATTTGTGCATGGGCCAGGCACAGGCTAGACATGGTATCCTAAAAAACAAGTGGGAATTGCCCAGTTCCTGATGAGAACAAGTGGGAGCCAGGCCCCTCAATGCTCATTTCCTTACTGCTTTTGATTTCAGTTTAGAGGGGGAGGCTGTTCTGGGCTTTCTGAGAACACCAGTCATGTGTACTTGTGCTTTCTGTATGCCTGACCCTCCCTCACCTTTCCCAAATAACTTGGAATCTGCTGGCAAATTTCAGCCAGCTTTCACTGAACTTTGCAGAAACTGAATTGTCTTTGGAGATTTTCCCTCTTGTTCCAAGTAGTGAACTCTCCCTGCTGAGTGCTGAGGTTTGGATGCAGGTCACCTCCAGGGAGGAGCTGCAGGCAGCGCGTTCGTGCCGTGCCCAGCAGAGGTGGGAGCAGGGATGAGGTGCTGGGCTGTGGGGTGTGGGAGTCTGGAGCGGCAGCTCCGTTCGCTGCTCATGCAACAACGGTTGTTTTCTCTGACTCTCCCGTAGTGCAGAGGCTGCCCCGGAGGTGAGTACGCATGGAGCACCTCAGCCGTGCTACAGCTGCCCCAGAGCCCTCCCTCACCCCTCCAGCTGCCTCCCAAAAGCTCTTCCCTTGTCTGCCCCTCAGAGCCCCTCCCGCTGCTGCTCTGCCACTGCCAAGCTTTGCATAGAGCCAGTGATGCAGCCCCAGCCACCCCCTTGTTGATCCAGGGTTTTTAGTTGGGGATTCTGCAACTTTCGTGTTCTAGAAATAACTGTGTGATGCCTTTATGCAAAAGCTGTGCTGTAAAATTAAAAATGTTTTGTTTTTTCCCCTCCTGAATAATAACATAATTCTTCTCCCCTGGAATCTTAGGCGTGGTGACAAGATCCTGGGAAATTGGACTGACTGTTCAGGATAGGCATGGCATTCAGCAAACACAGTGATGGAATGATATGTTTCCACTTAGGGAGTATCATCCCATCCTTGGATGGAGGGTGCTGGTATTCCTCTGTGTGTGTAGTTAGTAACTCCTGGGCAGTAGCAGCTGAGGTGGGAGGTGATGTAGTGGTCCCTTAGGAATGCCACTGGTAAACCCAGGAAAGGGTGACTGTACATGTCCACAGGCACACAGAGCTGTCACCATCCCTTGGGAGTGACACCAGGAGTCCTGCTGGTTTGAGTGCTGCTTTCAAGGGGAAGGGTTAGCGTTAGTAACAGCTGGAACTCCAGGACTGTGCAAATGTTCAGCTTACACTTGTGATAAGGAACTGTTGCAGTAAATTGGAATATTTGTTCCCATTTCTGATGTGCCCTTATCAAACTGGATGTAACCAGCACTGTCCTGGGCTCCAGGATCTCACAACCCAGAATGACAGGAAGGAGGGCAGTGGCCTAACAGAACATTTCCTAGGTCCTGTGGCTTGATGACAGTGGGGTGTTAATTTAAGAGAGAGGGAGTGAGTTAGAGCTGAGATTTGCTGAAAGTGTTGTAAGAGCAGTAAAAGTAACTGTTTGCAGTGGGTTTTTTCATTTGCCAGCCAAAACCAAAACCAATTCTAGTTCTTGCTCAGTCCAAAAATAATATTTTTTTCTATTTTACAGTCCTTAAGAATTAATCTGATCATCAAAGATGTACTTAGGTATTTAGAAAATAATTGGAATACATAGGAATTTAACATTATTTACAGCTGAGATTATTTTCCAAGGTTGGCATATATTTGTGGGTAGTGTGAGCTGAGGCAGAGTTTCATTTTTCCTGTCCAAGACACGTGCCTTGATCTCGTTCAAGTAGCAATAACTTTTCTGTGTCATCACAGATGAAACAAAATGTGTGTCAGATGGTTTGCATTTGAAAGCCCCGCAGCACTGAGGCCGTAAATGCAAGCAGGCAGTGAGGCCTGGGGTGGCTGCCCCAATATCCCAGCACCGGGTCTGTGGGGTCACCTGTCACTGTCCCTGCTCTTGCCAGGTCTGTACCCTGACGAAGGAAGACAACCGGAGCGTGGGGGTGATCCCGAGTGACGAACAGCTCCACGTGCTGCCTCTGTACAAAATCTCACAGACAGATGAATTCGGCACCGAAGAGGGCCTGGAAGCCAAGATCAAAGCCGGGGCCATCCAGGTGCTCACAGCATTCCCCAGGGAAGTGCGGATGTTGGCTGAGCCTCTCAGAGCCACCAAGAAAAAGAAACCAGACACAAGGAGGACCCCGAGTGAAAAGCAGCCATTGATAGATAAAAAATATTCAACACCAGTAAAGCTGAAAACCGAAGCCCCAGAAAATCTGGGCAACACTTTGCATTGTTTAGGTGAGTGATGCTTATGAAATCCTGGCAGTCTCTTCTGATCCTGTGTTGCCTCTTGCACAGCTGAGGGAGGGAAAAGCTCCTCAACACTCGGTTTCATTAGAGCTGTGCCTGGGCTGAGCTGTGTAGGTGCTTTGGATGCACACTGCGGTACCGGGCTCGGATTTTGGGCCAGTCCTTCCCAGGGTAGAACTACGGTATGGGACTGGGCAGTAATGGGAAGTAGAAGAGAAGGAAGAGGTGGAAGAAGCCAGGGACTCGAATTCCCTGATTAGCGGGAGAAAAATGAATAAAAGGAATTAAAGCACAGGCTATTCCCTGTTAGGAAGAAGGGAGGAAAATTAGCCAACCTGCTGTAATTTTATTTCATGAGAACCATCCAGATATATGCAGATTTAAGGGGAGGAACGACAGTGAAATGTATTTAGAAGAATGTCTGCATTTGGGGGAATAACATTTAAAAAACCGAAAATGCATTTGTCACCTCTGGTAATGGCACTGGGCACTCTGTCTCAGGAGGGGAGTCAGGGCGACTGATGAACCAGAAGATCAGTATTGCTGACCCCTGGGACATCAGACAGACATGCAGTTCATCCACGTGCATGTCTGGGGACACAGCAGCTCCATGCTGGGGCTGGGCTGGAAGTTCCAGAAGCATTAGAGGGCTCTGGTTTGGGAATGAATCCTGAAATGGTTTGATCTCTCTGCAGTGTTGTTTTGAAAGAGTGAGAGAGGTTTATGGCCCACCTACCTGAACATGACATTGCAGGTGTAGCAACCATGGCTTCCACACCTGGAAACCTTAACCAGTGCTGCAACAGCCAGGGTGTCCATGTGCCTTGGGAACACAGAACTTTACTCCTTGGACATGCAAAAGTAATAAAATAACTGCGTAAACAAGCCAACTTAGATCATTTGTTTGGACTTGAACTATTTTTGTAAAGTAATTTAAAAGAGTTGGTGACTAAAGTAAGGCACAGAGCGTGGAAGAAACACTTTCATGAGTGAGAAAGTTGTTCAGGGATGGAAAAATAAGAATGTGAACAGAATATTTAGTTTCTATGCTGAAAGGGCAGCTTTTGTCATGAAGTTCTGGCAGTGGGGTTCCCCAAAACAGATGTGAGCACTGTGAGCCCCACATGTGCCCATGGCCCTCGTGCTGGGGGTGCCTGTGTGGGAGGCAGTGGTGGCTGAGGAAGATCAGCTCAGTGCAGTGCTGGGCTCTGCCAGACAGGAACGTGGGGTGTTTCTGTACCTCTCTTCAGTGCTCTCTCCAGTCCCACAGGCTGAGGGCTGGGGACACTCCAGCACCCCAAAGCTGCCCCTGCCCACAGTGCAGTGCCGAGATCTGTAAATCCTGGGTTTGGAGCTCTGCAGTGCTGTACTTGTACATGCAGGGCTTGCAGTTACAGGGATCAATCACCAACTGCCTCTTTGCTCTCTGCCAGGGCAGGTATCATTTTAGTCCTCAGGAACAGGAACCTGGAGTCTAGCTGAGAATGGCAGACCTAGTATGAAAACAGGACCAAAGGGTGTGGAGACAGCAGTTAACCTGGGCTATTCAGTAGCCACTCCTGATGGTAGACCAGAGGGAACGATTAATCAGGATCCTTTCATAGTAATAGAAAATAGAATGGAAGAAATCCTGATAGAGTTTTTGGTAAGCAGTGAACACAGCACTGCTCAAGGCTGTTAAGCAAATCAGAAATTACTATTAAATCTTCTCCTGATGGAAGAACGAAAGGATCCTTAGCTACACTCCAGCTGTAGGGGAAGGTGTGGATAACTGAGGCAGGTAATGTAGAGTACTCGGTTTGCTAACTGAGGGCAAGGGTTGAGAATATTGGTTTGGTTTTGCAAATATGAGAAAGAATGTGGAGAACATACAATAAGATGGGATTTCCGTGGGTGGTAGATCTGTTGGCCACGTGCTCAGCCATGTGAGGCTGTCAGGCTCTGGAGCAGCCTGGAGGATGATGGAGTCACAAGACTATGCCGTGCTGCCCACAATGGAGGTGTAACCCGGCCTTCTGGAAGAGACCTGACCTTCACTTGAGAGCCACTGCAGTACAGCCCAGCTGCAGAGCTTGAGAGACCCCTCTGACCTGCATCTCTTCCCATCTAGAGCACTGGAAATGAGAAAGGAGTAAGGGAGGACTCATCTTCTCTCCTACCCTCACCTGGCAGCCAGGATGGTGTGGAGGAGCCTGAGTCAGCTTGTGAGGGCTTGGTCTGAGTCTCCACTGGGCCCAGGCCTTGGGGGAAAGTATTAAACAGTGCACTTGTCATGCACCTTTTACCAACTGCAAGCAGCACAACTCTAGTTTTTACACTTTCTAATTCTGAAGGCCTTTGAAATTCTAAATTAGTATGAAATGTGTATTAATGACAGAGGCCTTACTTCCTCCCTTGCGCAGTCCTGTCTTTTAACCACATTATTTGGGACAAATAAACATCAAAGATGGAAAGTTATTTCTGTCCCTGTAAATATCAGCAATTCTTGGCCCATATTGGATAGAACAGGAGAGGACCACCAGCTTGGTGAGAGGTCTTGGTCTGGGGGGAGCTGTTCTAATTACATTAAATACTTTGTGTTTGATTTCACAGAAAAGTCTTTTTTAAAGGGTCATTGTGGCTTCCTTATATCCCACTCAGCTTCAGTTTTTGCATATTGTGTCTGTAATTTATCCCTTGACTTTTTTGTATTCCTATTGGAGGAATGGTTTTTAATCCATCACTATTTATAAATTATTAGAAGACAGAGTAGAAGAAAGAATAGTTCTTCTGTATTGGGTACAGCAATTAAGCATTCTGTGTATTTATGGAACAAAGAAGAAACACTGACAGAGACAGTGCCTGAGAGCTCTCTGGGGGTGCCAATCTGCCAGCCAAATACAGGGAAAGCAACTGCAGGGCACGATGCAAAACCCATCTAAGACGATGGAATTCTTTCCCATTGATCCAGTGGACTCTGGATGGAACACAGCCGTGATGAGATTCCGTCACTGAGGAGCTGTTCCACACCCAAGCCCAGCAGCAGGGCTGATGTGGCTAAAAATAGCTTAGGGAGCTGACAGGGACTGAACAGGTGTCTGCACGAAGGTGTGAAATGATTCCTGTGAGGCAATTCCATGGGAACGGGGCAGACACCAAATCACGGGATCCAACTCTGTAGGGATGGATTTACCTGGAGCATGTTGCCAGATCCTGTTTTTTAAAGGCACTTGTAAGTGGATATTACAATGCAGGAGTGGTTATAACTCAGGAACTTTTGGATGTGACAGACAAGATAAAGAAGCCTTTTCTTGTCATAATACAGGGTCAGGGCAGCCCAGAATTTTGACTGATTCACAGGCCTAATTTCAGACAGGCTGAATTTCATCTGTGATGTAACAACTGAAGGCCAGCAGTCAACTGCTGAGGAGCTCTTGTGTAGGACTGAGCTGTGTGAATTGGGACTCAGTGGTTATTTCATTTTATCTGTTTATTTTACTCATCCCTTTGAGAAATACCTTTCTTTTTTATGTACCAACAGCCTGACTGGAAAAGGTTAAGGTGTAATTCAACAAGGTTATTACATGTATACTTAAGGTCATAGAGATATCCCTAAAAAGCTTAAAATAACCATTTTGAAAAATCTGTAGTCATCATGTACATTTTACATGTTAGAAAACAAGTATGAAAATATTCTAAGAGGTGTGTTTTATGAATTGAGGAAAGGTACTTACACTTTGGTGTGCGTTTCTTCTAGGGAACAAAACAGATGCTTTAAAACCTGGAATAAAAATGGAGACTTCCAATCACCTGTATGCCATGAAACATACTCCAAACACTACTAAAAATTGCTCCTTGCTAAAGCAGTGCCCAGCTTCCTCCCCCTTCAAGGTGGATAGTTTACATCCTTGTCCATCTCTAGCACATAAGCCTGGCCTGACAGCAGTGACTAACATTCAGCAAGATTTTTCAGTTCCCTACGGGTATTTTGAATGCAGTACCAAGCAACCTCACGTGACCCCTTACATCAACTGCAAGAGCTTCGATGTGTCTGTCAAGGATTATACTGGAATTCTGCTGGACGAGAAGGTGAATGGGGTGCCACCGGTGCTTCCCGAGGTCACTGCTCCAGGCCCCCCAGCCCACACGGACCCCCTGCCCACTATACTTGAACATCAGCCCGACAAACAGAACTGTCAGCTCCAGCTGGACAGCTCTTCCTCACAGATGGTCAGCTCTTGTGACCCGTCAGTACCGCTAAGCTCTCCGGCCACGGATGCCGTCGGAAACGGAGCCGACTGTTCCCATGGATGCCCGGTGGAAAAGGGCAGCTCCCATCGAGGACAGATGTGTGACTTGGACTGTGCTGATGAAAAGCAAAGCAGTGCACTGGGACACCCGGCTGATTCTGAAGAAAAGGCTGAGGAGTTGTGGTCAGACAGCGAGCACAATTTCTTGGACGATGACATCGGTGGGGTTGCTGTGGCACCTTCTCACGGTTCTATCCTAATTGAATGTGCCAGACGGGAACTCCACGCCACCACACCGATCAAAAAACCCAACCGGAATCACCCCACGAGAATTTCTTTAGTTTTCTACCAACACAAAAATTTAAATGAGCCAAAACACGGTTTAGCCATGTGGGAAGCAAAGATGGCCGAGAGGGCGAAAGAGAAAGAAAAAGAAGCGGAACGACTGGGAACGGAGAACTCGGAACTGAGCTCCGGCAACAGGAAAGCAAAGCAACCAAGTGAAAACAGAGAGCTTTTTTACGAAGACAATGAGTTCAACCAAATTCCCTCCCGCCGAGCGCTGACAGTGACCAAGGACAACGTGATCACGGTGTCCTCGTACGCCCTGACGCGCGTGGCGGGGCCCTACAACCACTGGGCGTAGGTGGCGGGGCCCCTCCTGCGCAGGGTCACACGGGGCTTCTCCAAGGTGCTGTTCAAGAACAAGTCTCCTGTCGTTTACTATTTGCTCATCTCAACCATTTTAAGGCTGAGGTAGAAAAAAAAAAAGGGGGGGGATTTCTTCTTAAACTGTGACTTTAACATTTGGTGGTGCTCAAGCACATTTTAAGCAAAAAAAAAAAAAAAAAGAAAAGCTGTATAGTTTTAATACATTCTAAGAAAGATTTTGTTTAGGTTATTAACCTTGATTGAATCATTCAGTTTATTACCTTTAGGAATTTATATTTTGGTGCTTTAAATAAAGTCTGTTTACTACAAAAATCATTTATAGGGATTTTAACAGGTTCACATTTTATGGTGTTAAATCAAGTTATACAGTTATAGCTCTACACAGCTCTTGGTGCTTAACCACATCAAACAGTTAAAAATAAATAAGCTGAATTATTACTTCATGGTGCCATTGCTTTAACAACTTCCAACCATTGCTATATAGTCCAAATTACAGATAAATCTTTTAGAAAACCAATGAATTTTGTTCTTTAGATTTGTCATTATGTATAAAATGAAGTTATTGGTAAGGATGGCTGGAAGTTGTTTTTAAGCTGTAAATATATATTTTAAAAGCACTTTCTATTTTTAAAATTAACTTGAAATAGTATAGTCTAAGGATCATATTGTCTGAGGTTTGTGCATACTCTACAGAAGTGATTTTATTCTTGCTGTGTAGAGTTCCGTGTTGTTACAGCTGCAGGATGTGTGCTCACAGCATATGTGGTTGGTTTTAACTTGCCCTTTTTCATCGAAGATTTTATGTTGCATTTAAACAGCAGTTATCAATTACAGAACCTTTTTATTCCTTTCAAGAGAGTGTACAAACGTGAACCCAGGAGATGTCTGGTCAGTACATGTGTTGCTATTGGGAGACATGAACATTGTTTGCTTTTTTTAAAGGCAGCATTTTATTATGGTTTCTTTGAGCAATAACTGTGTAAGTCTCATTCCTTTGGAGCATTCTAAGTTAACATGACAACCAAATGTTCTTAATGCCTCAGGGGTAGGATTGTTTTGGGATAAAGAAAATACCCCCTAGAGTTGCCTTATTCTGTTCTGGAAAAAAAAAATTAATTTGAGGAAATGACAAAGAAAGTGTTGGAAAATTATTAAGCTTCTAATATTTAATAGCAAATTTTTCATTAAGAATAACCTATCTGCAATATTCATCAACTTTGAGTTCCGTTTTCTTACAAAAATGTTTTGTAAAATTTTGAAGTAGTTTATACATTTCTCTTGGAAAGGGTTGTATCCTTCCTTCCAAACATGAAACTTCTGTTCTCCATTTCTGTTGAAAAAGTGACATATCATGAAACGAGTATTTGCTAAATCAGAGGAAAAACAGACACTCCATTGCTTTTAAATACTGTAGCATCCCACTCTTCTTTCTGATTCTCCTCTCCTATGTATTTCTTTTTTAAACTTATTTATTTAAACACATTACCAAATGACAGCGTTAGCTGGGGACTGAGCTCATCCTGCACCTGGTCCCACAGGAGCCAGGACTCCTGGGGGAGCTGCAGGGTCAGGCCCTCACACAGAGCTGGACCTTCCTCCTGCCTCACGGCCGGGCAGCCTGGCGGTAGAACCAGGTCAGAGAGTTGCAGTGTGCAAATGTACTGATGATATACTTGATCCATTATGCTGTAGTGGTGCTGTTAGAGGCGTAGCAGCTGTCTAGAGTTGCTGCATTGCAACCCAGACAAGGTGCTTTTTCCTGGGGAAGCTCAAGTGCAAGCACTCTCTTTACAGTTCTGGTACGACAAGTCCATCAGTGGTGTTTTTAACACCTGGTGCCAGTCGGGACCTTGGTGCTACAACTCCTTGGGTGTGGCTGCAGAGCCGCGAGCCTGCGCTCCTGCCCTGGGGGGTGTGCAGGAGCGAGGGCTGAAGTACCAATCACTCTGTAACGACCCCGGGTTCAATTCCCCACATTCTGTTCCAGTTAACAAAGCTGCGATGGCAGAGGATGGAAGGATTGAACCCGTTCTTTGTCTCTTACCTATTTTAAGTAAAGTTTGTAAAAACCGGGTATGCTGCAAATTTTAGTTGAAAGCTTAATATTAGCTCAAATAGAGGATATGAAGGGATTGTAAATAATAAAACAGAACCGATATTATGCCATCGTTTTGTACCAGCAGTTTTATGCTTATTAACTATGTAATATACAGTATACATCAAATCATTATGGTATTTTGTGTGCCTTAGAGTTCCATTGTAACCCTTGTCTGTTTTTGGTGAGCCCAAGATCAGTAGGAGTGGCAGCTGTCCATACAGTGAGCAGTGCTGTACGTTCCCAGCTGTTCTGAAAGCCCTGGCCCCACACCACGAGCTTAGGTTATTGGTTTCACTGGTAGTGCTGACAGCTTCGGTTTCTGTAGTGCTGTAATTCAGCACTCCCACGTAATAAACACATTTTCCACACAAAATTAGTAAGTTACAGAGCCATCTCTTTACCTTTTAAAACGTTCATACCATTAAAGTGGATCATTTTTACTTGAATTTTCTCCTGCAATTGCCCATATTTAACTTATGTAAAGTTCAAGATAAAAATGTTCCATTGAAAAACCAGCAGCTTTCCTCTAAGAAGTGAGGCACTGAAGGATGGATCTAAAAGGATCCCTTCAAACGCAAATAGTCCAGGTGTGAAATGGCAATTCTAACAGAGAAACTTGTATCTTAACAGAATAATTAAGCTATTAACTGATAGGTGCTAAACTCACAGTTACTACTTCATTAACATTACTTACCTGAGAAATAGCTCATCTCTACAATAACATATCCCTCGTGGTGCTCTTCCCTTTTCTGTGTCCCCTAAGCTGCTTTTCCAGCACATCCTGCCTGCCAGGCTGGCTGGGCACAGGCAGGCTGTGCTTGGAGAAGCTGGTATTTTCTATTGCTGTACTGCAGGATAGAAAATGCAGCTATTTACTGTTTGTACAACTCTGCTATTCTTGTAACACTTCAGAATATTTATCAGTCTTGTACACAAACTGCATTGTTTTCAGTAAGGTTATTGTTTTATAACAGTATTTGTCTCTTTAAGATTTGCTACTCCGTGGGTCTGTTCTTTCCTTTGCCGCCCACACAGCCACTTGTAATTTGTTCTTACCTCTTAACTAAGCCCTTCTGGGATGGCCAGACCAGGAGCTGGATGTAAAACTAAGGTAGCTGGCACAATGTTCTGGGTGGAAAACCAGTACATGGATTCAGGTCTGGGTTGGTGATGGGCTGTGCTCGCCTTTGGATCATTTTTCACAGTACGGTACCAAAAACTGTCCTGATCCAACATGCAGCACCTCTGACTTCAGAAGAAATGTCTCATCCGTGTCTCCACTGGGTCCAGTAGCAGCACTCCACCTCCCCTCTGGAAGGAAGGAGCAGTGCTTGTTGCAGGAGCTGGTTCTGTTTGACTCCTTGAGTCCCTGTGGGAGTCACTGCAGTCATGCCCACTTAAACAGGGAATTTACTGATTTTTCACATGCTATTGTATTACACAAACCAGGAAAACATATTTCTATACGTACTTGAGTCACAAGATCCAAGAAGCTTTTTAAGACCTTAAAATACTTGCAGCTTTCTACCTGTAACGGTTGTATTCAATTTTTTTTAAAGGACTTTCTAAGGTAACTTTTACTTAACTGCTGGTGAAAGTCCTTGTCTTACCTATGACAGTGCTTCTCTAGACTTAGCACGGGAAATACCTGTAGTATCTTAAGCCACGTTTTATGTTAAGCATGGGTAAATGACAACTTCTCTAGGACTTAAGATTCTTTGTAATATACAACTGTGTGGGGTTTTTTAAAGACCTCTTTAATTTCCTTGCAGTATTTGGTGGGTTAAATTTGGGTCCTGTTTATGTTGCTGCAGCCCTGCTGAGTGTTCATTCATCAGGCTTTCCTGCAATTCCCTGTTTAACTGGAGGGGTATGGCCAAGAGCTGAGTCAGGTCTGTGCCCCTCAGAGCTTTGCAGCCCTACCACGATGAACAGGTTGTGCAAGGACAGATGGAGAGAGATTTGGAGTAGATGTTTAGTTGTGGTTAAACACAGAGGTTGTGCTGTTTGGAGCAGGACAGTGATTCAGGTCTGCAGTGTGACACAGTTCCTGCACCTCAAGTCCCAGGCAGGTCTGTGTCAGAGCAGCTCCAGGCTTGAGCTCTTGACAGCTTCTCGTGATTTGTCTTATCTGACAGGTTGGTCAGTGAGACAGAAGTTAGGGAAGCAGGTTAAGGAAAGTTGCATCTTCATGGGTTTATATTTAAAAATGTAAGGTCAGTCTTGCCCTTTCATTTCCCATGGAACTTCTCCCATGTTGAAATTAGCTCCATTTATCAAGCAGTCATCAGCTTTGCAGTCCACTTATACATATGGTTGTTCTCTTTTCCACAGAAATCCTGTAATTTCTAGGTCATCAGGAGGAAATAACTGTGCCCTCAGATATATGGAAAACTAAATTCATGGCCACTTGCATGCTTTGGATATGTTAACAGCAATTACATTTGGGCAGGACTATTGTGGTCCCTGAAATTCTTTGTGGCGTCGACTCCATAGCTGTGTTTTATTTCTTGTGTGACAGCTGTCTGCCTGTGATGATCTGAACTTAACTAACACAATTAGAGATGAGGAGCAGTCCAATCACACCTGGAAGTTCTGGCCTGCTTTATTTTATCAGGTATTGGTCCGACTTGGCAGAAGGAATTGTAGAGGGAATATCTTTCCATAAAATTGGGCGGTAGAGAGAGTTGCCATGGATTGTTGTGACACCACGGTACTGCAGTGTCTGTGTCACAGCACTGTTCTGACCAGGAAGATGTTTCCTTGTGGACAGATGTACAAACTGACCTCTTCCCACAGCTCCTTCTTTAGTCTCTGCCTCCATATACTGGTTTAAAGGAAAAAAAAAGAGGGACAGAGTTGGTCACCCTTTCTTGATCTGTGAAGGCAAACGATGCAGCGAGCACTGCGTTCATCCTCAGTCTGCTGCCCCTTCCCACGGTCAGGATAGAGAATATGGAAAGCTGAGGGGATGCTGGTTGGACTGGATGGTCTTTACAGTCTTTTCCACCCTTAACAATTCCATGACTTTATGCACAGCATGAATAAGGTACAGTTGGCTTTTTGAGACAACCTTCTTTGTACATGTGTTGTATGCCAGGATACTTCTTTATATTGACACTTCTTTTGGTACATCTGACTTTAAATTCATAAGCTTTTTTTACTTAGTCTGTGACACACTTATATTTGCCTGTAATCTAAACCTGAGTGACCAGTGTCAAAAATCCTGGGGATGGGGCTACTTAGTGGAAGAGTTCTGGAACTGATTTCAGTCTCTTTGGGGATTACCTGATGGTTGCTCAGTCTTCTCAAGTTGTCTTTGTGCTGCTTTAGTATGTTGCTACAAAATCATAAAAGAAAGTTTTACACCTGAGGTTTCCTGAGAGCAAGGATTTCTAAGAGTAGTATCTGATCATGCACCAGGATACGTATGGATCACTTCTTCTGAAGAGTGGTTAAAAATGGGTTGTTGATTACTTCCTATTGAAACATTTTTGGTTTCTTTTAGAGAATCAAATAATCAGTTTTCCAGTTAACTTTTACATTTCTTGATGTAGTTATTACAGCCTGTTCTTATATCTGCAAGTAGCCAAACAAAAGAGACTTTGCTAGACTAAAAAACTGCTGACCCCTGAGAAGGAAAGGTCATCCCTTCTCAGAGTACAGGATTTTTGTACTGTTTTTTCTCCCTGTTGTGCCAGCATCTCTGTGGAATGTCTCTTGTCTTCTGAGTTACTCTAACAGCTCTGCCCAGTTCCTGACAGAAAGCGGCTGCTGCAGAACCTGCATGACTGAAAGAGCAGGAGTGTTTCTTTACATCTTCTGGTTAGATCAGTCACGGTCCTTGTGAGACACCCAAGTGTGGTGTAAGTGAAATGGTGCAAGTTAAATGCCTTAACTACCATAGGGCTGCTGGGAAAAAAGATGTTCTTCCTCTGTAGCAGCAAATGGAATTGATGGAGCTTGAGCAGAAAATAATAAAGTAGTTGCTTCTTTTGTTAAAGGGTATCAGGGTGTCAGCATCACTGTTTCCTTCTTTCTGAGATATAAAGACTTCAGGATTCTTTTTCCAATCCAGTTCCCCAGTTCATCATCCCAACATACTGCTGACTTCAGTTTTAAAAGATACAAGATGCTTCTCGATGCTGTTTTCTTTAATTCTTCCCAGAACAGTGCATTTTCCTCTTTTCTTCTACTGGACCATTACATATGGCATTTTTCCACACATACTTGTATTCAAATACTAGAATCTTCCAACAGCATTCTTGCACTGAATGCAAGACCAGGGTGCTAAACAAGGTGAGGGTGACTTGCTGTGTCGGGTGTGACTGATCAAAGGTGCTGTTTCCAACACTGCACACCCTACACCATTCCTCAGTCACGGAATGCAGGGGGACACTCAAAAGCTCCATGTGTGAGGAGGAGGACAGGTCTGGCTCTTAATCTGCAGGGTTAGCAGGTACAGCAGATGAAGTGTGTTCCAAAGAAGTGCTGTTGCAGTGGAGCAAGGGAACTGCTAGTTTGATGTTCAGTTTTGCAGTTGTTGCCACACAACGTTTTGATACTGTTGTGGAAAGTTTTGTGACTGATCAGTATTTTACATGTATATCTGTATTTTTTATGATGATGTTGTAATGGAAAAGGGTCTAGGGTACAGGAGTGGTCTTAAAATAAGAATGAAGGCCCTGATTCTCACTTATACTACTGTCCTTTGCATTGCAGTGAAAGGATAAAGGGGCCTTAAATGGATGTCACTTTAGCTTATGGCCTTTGGAGTATCCCATCACACTGACCATGGTATCAAAGGTCAGGAGCATAAATCAAAACAGACACCAAATGACTGATCTGTACAATCAACTGAAATCAACTGCATGGTGTTGCTGCTGTGCATGTACTGGCCAGCAACATCCACATTGTTCTTAGTTTAAAAATGCAGGTTCAACAGAAACTGCCTTGGGGTTTACCACGTTTTAAGTATCCATTTATATTGGCTGTTCTTTGCCCAACACTGTCTCCAAAGCCAGTGTGGTAAAAGATTTGTGCCTCTAGGTAATGGCCAGACCAGAAATCTCATAGAATTGTCAATAATACCATTTTTAAAAGATCTGGTAGTTTCTCTTAAAATACTTGCTTGCCTTTATCATAATTTGATCCCTTTTCCTTGCTGATGAGGGGGATTGTGAGGATCTGCCCTGCAGAGCCAGCAGGGTGTGCAGCGTTGTGCGCTCTTGTCACACTGGGGGACTTTGGGACCCAAAGCTAAAAGCCAGCATGTCCTGCCTGCCCTGACTGTGGTGCTACTTGCCAGGGAAACCATGGCCATTGCTCTGCATGCCGAGTCCTGCTGAGCTTCCCCTGCCACTGGAAGCTTTATGGAAGCAATTCCCCCCATATATTCCATAGCTGCAGTTATGGAATGCAAGGTAATGCAAACTTCTCATTCAAAAAACGTTTGAGGAGAAGGAAATATACTTTCCTACCTAAATTTGTACACATCAGCAGTACTGCAGAGCCTAATGAGAACAGATTTTGTACAGCTTTGTGAATGCCTGTCTAATCCATGCAACTCCAAAGGCAGCAGCTGAACTTCATGAATCTCTGATCCACAAAATGAAAAGATATCTGTAGGCCAGAAAACAAATGGGATATCCCAATACTACTAAATGAGAGCCAGTTCTAACCAATGCCAACATTCAGACAGTTCGGTTTTTAGCAGTGAATTATTCCACGATTATTTGTTCATTTTGGAAGAGACAGCTCTTCCTAATGTGACAGTACCACACCAGCTCATAGGTACTGATTGGAATTGGCTGTCACTAAGAACAGTAATAAGTAAGGACACTGTACTGAAATGCTGTGGCCAGTGAATTCCTTCCTGCTTTGCAAAGTTAAAAGACTAACCGTGTGCTGAAGCAAAGGTAAAAGAGTCAGCCTTTCTTTCCTTTTCTCTTCTTTTCTCTCTATTTTTCTCTCTTTCTTTGGGATGCATTTGATATTTATTTTTCAACTTTGAAGTCTTCTTTCCAGTTACCAACCTACTGTATTGAAATCTGGAACATAAATTTAACACTTTTTAAATAAAAGATTACGTACAGGGAGACAAAAATCAGAAAGAAAAAGCACTTCATTATGTCACAGTATTTACAGGAAAAAGTATAAAAATCACCTGTTTTCTCAAAAAAACCCAAACATTTGGGGCCTGATTCTTTCCCAGTATAACTGAGCACAGCTCCCTGAGGCTGGTGGAGCTGTGAAGAGTTATGCTGGCTGAGAAATGGAACCTTAAAATCTTCTTTGCAGACAAGGGAACCCTTACCAGCAGTACTTGAAGACTTGTGAGTTGTGACTGCATGTTACTTGAAAGATCTAATTAAGCTATGTTTTTTGGTGCAAGCAGTTGTTGTACATGATTTCATGTTTATGTAGCAAGATGCATTGAAATGTTGATACTAGTATTGAAACATACATGTAAAAATTGTTGTCGTGGAAATTGTCTGTTCTGTTCTATTTTTCTTGTGTGTCTCATCTGTTTAGAACGTAAACTTCCTTTTTTTTTTTTTATTGTCCTAACTGAATAAGGCTAAATGAATACTGTAATTGAAAATATATTTTAAATCTTGTCATGAGTTTTTAAAAAGACTATTACAAATTGTATCATTCCTGATTACACAGAACTTTGTGGGTGGTTTTAAATAAATTTTATACTTCTATTTTGCACTCAGTCGCCTAATTTTTCTTTCCTGCTCTTAGCACTAATAAGCATTGTCACATGTACAGGGTATTTAATTACCTCAGCCCTACAGGGCTACAGTGGGTTCACCCAAAAAGTCAGCTGGGCTTCTGCACTGGGAAGGGCCAGGCCTAAACCCCGTTGCTGTTCTCAGTCTGCCTCAGCTTAGGTTGGACTGGCCTGTCCTAGGCAAGAGTCTGAACCTCATCTCCTGACTGAAAAGGACAAACCAGTTTGTGAGCACATTCACACACTGTCTCTCTCTGCCACTTGTCTGGCAGAGCAAGCTTATGGCAATCATTTACTGTGGCATTTAATTCCCAGCTGCTGGAAACAGTCCAGGTTTTATTTCCTGCAAGTCAGAGGTTAGGGGGGGGATTTTTTTCCTTAAAACAGACCTCAGCACAAGCCTCCTTTGGTCTGGGATGCTGTAGTGCAGAACAACACTACTGGACAGAATTGCTGTTGTTTAGATCTGAAGAAAAGGAGGAACACATATTTGCTTCTTTCCCTGCTCCAGTAAGCGCAGCAGCAAAAGCTGCTTTACAGAGATCTTCCAGACAACTGGAATCTCCTAGAGGGCATAAAAATGCTGCTATCCACAGGCTTCAGCAATGCCCTGGAAAGAAACTACACAGTGTGACATAGTGCATCTGGTCCCTGGGAGCTGGATGTGGTATCCAACAGGGAGCCCTTGACCCCCTCCTATGGAAGCTGCTGCTCCTTTGGAGGATAATCATTACTGGGGTTTTACAGCAGCATCTCCCGCCCTGCCCAGGCCTTCTCTGACTGTGCTATTAAATCCTTCCTCAGAGCTATGTGTTCCAGGGTTTGGTGGCACTCAGTAACTCAGGTATCTTAGGAAAGCAAGTGGATTTTTAATGGCACTTCCACACTTGGAGCAGACCCAAGAACGTCATTGCTGAGGAAGAAACGTCGATGAAAAATTGTTTCCAGCACCTTTTCAGGTACTGGTCACTTCAGTGCTTGTTTATATAAATTATAGAGGTAATAGAACACTGATATGGTACAGGTGGTTGCTTTTAAATTGTTAAGATGCTACAGCCTTACATTACACTGCCTATTAAAGGGGTATTGCTAATTGATTAATCTGCAAAATAAGCTTTTTGGCTGGTGCTACAGTTACAGTTTTCTGCAGTACTCCAGTACCTAACAGAGATTACAGAAGGGCAGGGTTTGACTGCTGTTCAACTGTGCTGATAGTGTTGTTAATATTTAGCATCCAGTATCAGCTTACATCTTCAAAAGGTTATTCACCAAAATAATGTAGTTTCTGTGCATTTTGTACATCAGAACAAGCATTGTATCCAAATGTCATTTAAACACAAGCAAGGCAGAGCTTCAGTTAGTGTTTTGGTTCAAGCAACGGCCTAGGTAGTCTAAAATAAAGTAGCAGCAATCCCCATCTGTGTTTTTAACCTAAGACACACTGGAAAAATATTGAAAATGTGTAAATTAAACCCAACTATTTCAATAACCATTGGCTACAGCACAATTCCCAAGATGGGCTTCCAATTCCATGTCCAATCTGTTTACTTCTGGATACTCTTTTGCTTTTGTGATTTACACCACTTATACAAAATTCTTAGCAGTTGAATTCTTGAAAATGTCTTTTTATACCAGGCCAAAAATTCATGACAATCCTGCAACACCACGTGTAACATCTCCATTTGTAATGTAACTGGGTAACACTTCCCTGCTGTTTGAAGGAGCCCTGAATTGCTGCTGGAGGCATCATGACAGCCTTTCTCCACAGCCCAGAACAGTCAGACCTTTATTTCCTGGGGCATAACAAGTCAGCAGTTCAGTTTCTTGTGACCCCTTTGTTTTACAGGGAGTCTGTCTTTGCATGGTGATGACTTTGACTCCCTTCACTGGAGGAATCCCTTCTGGGAAAGGCGGTCCCAGTGCTGTGCTTCATCACTCCAGCACTTCTGTGCTAGACCTTAACTCACCTCCCCAGGAGCAGAAAGCCTTGTAAGGACTCACCTGGGTTACAGCTGCTACAGATTTCAAGAGTGGGGTTTGGTGATTTGTTGGGCTGTTACAAATTATTCTGTGGGGGTAAGAAATAAGTGGCTCAGGTGTGGCACTGCATAACAACCCTCCTTGGGCTGTAGCTCTTGTGAGCTTGGACTAGCTGGGTACTCAGAAAAACAAAAACAGGAAGCAAAACCTGCCTTTATGCAGGGCCACTGTTCTCGTGGGCCCTGGGCAATGTGAATTACGTGTTTTTTCTTCCAGGAATCCTGAGGAATTATACAAACATTATAGCTCGCTCTAACCCTACACAGGAAGCCTCCATGGTAAACTATCATTTATAGTAGTATTTTCTTGTTCAAATGGGACAACTCAAAAGAAAAGTGTATCTTGTGCTTGGTTAGGAAAAGAGATATCCTATGCTCCTCAATAAACTGTAAGACTCAGGTAAGTACTTCTGCTGAAGTCAAATGCTAAATGATTAAGTAAAGCCAAAAGTCATAAAATTTGAAACCCAATCTATCTGATTTTAGTTAGAAAACTACTGTACTCTTAAAAGATTAAAATTTCTCCCTTTTGCAAGAAATGTGTTTCTCTGAATTCTCAGCACTAACTATGATTACACAAAACAATTTTCAAAAGGGTTGCCTTCCAATACACTTTTTCAAACATAAGAGTGGGGGTTTTTTATTTTTACTTTGAAGTGTCAAATGGGACAATTTGGAAGAAAGATTTATTCTCTACTTGGTTAGGAAAAGATGTTTAGTTGCTCATGTAGAACAGCTATGAACACCTATCAACCTTAATAAGGAGGTTTTTTTCAAACTCCTGCATGGAACAGCAGTGCAATGGTGTGGAAAATATCCAGGATTCAGCCCTCTGGCACACTGGGGCCAACTGGAAATCAGGATGGACCAACCTCTTCTCAAATACAGATCTTTTTAACATAAATTTAACAAAATAGTTCCAAGGGCATGCAATCTCACCAACATATACAACAGACTAGAGATGTGGCAGAAATTCCCTATTTAGGGGCTGTACAGACTTCACTGCCCTTTCTCTGTGCTGTAAGATTGCAATTTTTTAACTCAGGATGGTAAAGGCTTTAATTAAAATCTACAAACGTGCCGTTTGGTAGAAATCCTTCCATTAATATTCATCATGGACTACTTTCAGACTCGGATCTTCACCTCCCTTTGCACCATCAGTAAGTGCTAACAGTGTTCCTGAAGGGCTACGATTCCCTTCCCTGGACACAGGATTTTCTGGGTCACCACCAGTTCCCTCACATTTATTATTAAACTTCAGTACCGACTGTGTCATGTGTTAGGGAAAATGTAAAGTACAGAGAGCTGTGGTCATAAATACCACAACAGAAGGTTTTGTGCAAGAAAAAACTATGGTAATTTGCTTACATGTTATATGCTGCACTTGTACTACATCTTTAGCATCAAAAAAGCCATTAACTGAACTGTTGCTGCCATCCCTGGATATCTAGAAGGGTAAAAGTGTGTTTGACTCTCTGGATGATCTCTTCTGGCCCTCTGAAGAGAATACATAAATAAACTCCTCAACAGCTGCAAAGGGCAGGTTCCAGTAGTGACATAGATAGACCTGAAAGTTAATTCTGGAATTGAACAGGATGCATAGGAATGTACTTCCAACAAGAATATGAAAAAACCCCACATAATAATCTTCCATGATCAAAGTTGTTACCTCATCGAGTGAAATAACCATCCAAAGTGCTCACTACTTGAACTGTAGCGTTTCCTGGTACAAAGTTCTCTTCTTTGTGTTTTTCCATTCATCTTTGTTAAGTGTACTGATTGTGCCAAAATATGTATGATGCTCTTTGATTACAAGCTCCAAAAATTATCACTTCTCTCCACAACATCCCCAGCTTATTCTTCACTCTCGTAACCACCCAGAGAGCTGGAAGCAACAATATGTTTTATGGGTTTTGCCTTCGCATCTCTGTCTTTATCTTATTAAGGTAGCTTGTAGAAAGCTCATCTCTTTCAGACTCCTGTCCCCTCATCAATTTTGGATTAAACTGTCCAATGCACTAAAGGTACTCAGGGTGCCTAGAGTTATTTTAAGCAGCAAGACTAGAAGTGCTCATGTTTTTTCACTGCCACTTCCATTACAGCTGTTCCTCACCACAGCAGCGTGGTTTGTCTTGAGACAAAGAATCCAAATATAAATGGCAGTAGCAAAACCTGACAGCTAAGGTTAGCAGTGAGTGTGTAGGAGAAAGGACACAAAGAAATGCTCTGCCTGTGGTACAGGACATCAGCCTTGTGCTTCCTGTGAGCTTTTGAGGCTTTGAGAGCATCCCCAAGAGTGAGGAATCCTCTGATAAAAAGGGCCCAAAGACTGCAGAATGGAGCTACTTACACAATATTCTGACATTCACTGACAAGTATTTTCTCCTTTAATACAATTTTGCCAGTCCTTTTCACGTGTAGTGTGGGAGGGAGGTCCTGCAACTTTTTTAGCCTCTAATCTTATCTCCAGGTCAAAGGGTACAAACTCTGCCTTAGTCAACTGACTGAGCTGGATGGAGTTACTACAGGAATAAGGTTTAAAACATGTAGAAAATTAAGAACTATGGTTATGAGTGTGAAACACTGAAACCCTCATCTAATTTGCAATAAAAAGGGCAAGGGCAGATCTGTATTTATTATTGAGTACCAAATGCTGGCAGAAATTTACCTTCACTTGAGGGTCTTTTGTGTCTTTCTCTGGCTGCCCTCCTACAATATAACCCACTGCAAATGAGTCTGATATTGTTGCCTCTTCATCCCGCCAACTTGTTTTTAAGGACAATGTAACACTTCAAAGCCCCATTTTCATGTAAAAAGTGTGTCTTGCTGGCTTACTTTCAAATGTAAACATTTCATGTTCTAATTTCACTTCAAGGCAAAGCAGTGTAAAGAACCATTTCTCGGATGGAAGGGTCTTTTCAACAGCATCAGGCGCGGGGGGAG